AGCTTAGAGAAAAAGAGCTAGAGGAAAGAGAGCAAGGGGAAGTGTTTTTTTACATTTAATTTTTTTTATGATAAATTCAAGCGGGGGCAGCACGGTGGCACAAACGCCGAGCCTCGAGCCTCGGCTGGGTCTGTTGGCATTTCTGTCTGGAGTTTGCATGTTCTCCTCATGTTTGTGTGAGTTTCCTCCGGGTGCTTCGGTTTCCCCCACAGTCCATAGGTGAATTGGATAAGCTAAACTGTCAGTAGTGTATGTGTATAATTGAGTGTAAATGGATGTTTCCCAGAGATGGGTTGCAGCTGGAAGGGCATCCGCTGTGTAATACATATGTTGAATAAGTTGGCGGTTCATTCCACTGTGGCCACCCCAGATTAATAAAGGGACTAAACCAAAAAGAAAATGAATGAATAAATGATTCAAGTGGTCATGGAAGAGATGAGTTCCCCTTCGGATGGGGAACTTCAATGCTATAAGTGGATTTAATCCACGTATGGGGATTTTGTTCAGAAAGCCAATCGTCTGAAAGAGTATGTAAATGGGCCAATAAAATGCCTAATGAATTGGCAGCATCAGATTGCGTACATGATGCTTGTTGCAATCATTTTGACGTAAAAGCACAGCAAAAGCAAGAAGATGCAACCTTTTCGCTTCAGAGACTTCTACAGCCTTCTGAGAGAGTCGATGAGGGTTCCTTCTGCTAAGTGGTTTCAGTTGTCCAGTGGTTTCGAGCGAACGAGAGCGGTCTCTCGGTCCAGAGAGTGTACACGCGGTGGCAGACGATCGAGCTGGGCTTCTCCCTCTCCTGGCGTTCTTTGGGTCCGGTCCTCCAGAGCGGTGCGTATAAAGTTGCAAACTTCACTAAAAGAGCAACACAGTCATGCAGCACGTTCTTTTCAGCAAGGCGCTCAGACCGTGCGTTTCTGAATGCAGTTTCCTGTCCCCGGATGATGGGCACAAGCACTGCGTTGCATGTCTGGGGGTCCAGCATGTTAATCCGGTGCTCGCGGGCAGTTCATGTCTTCATTGCGATGCCATGTCTGTTGCGCAGGTTAACCGCTGCTAGCCCTTGCAAAAGGGCAAACCTCCCCATCTGTCCCCTGCACTGCAGCGGGGACTCAGGAAGGCCTGAGGGTTCCAGTGGGAGATTATCTGTCACCTTCGGGCCCGCTGACCTCACACTCCTCCAAGCACTCCATCCAAGCTTTGAGCGGAAGAAGCGATCCATCTAACCAGATGGTAGCCCTTACGTTTGATGACACCGGGGACCAGATGTCCACTGCTGCATCGGAGGGTGGGCATTCATTGTCCGATGAGGATCCAGATCCCCTCCGGGCAGGTGAGCGCTGTCAAAATGGATCCTGAAACGGACATGTTAACCGTGCTTTTCCAGGCTGCTTCGGCCGTGGGGTTGGAAATTGTTTATCCCTCAGCTCCGCAGCCTGCCGTCTAGATGGATGCTACGTAGAGGACCAGAGGGCCAAGCATTTGAATCCTCTCGTCCCTTACTTCCCGGAGGTGCACAGTAGGCTCGCGCAGTCTTGGAGGGCCTGTGCTGTGTGTCCCTCCACCCTCACCACTCTTGATGATGGAGCAGCCAGGGGGTATGAGGCGATTCCTCAGGTTGACCGCAGCATTGCGAACAATCTTTGTCCGCGTGGCCCCTCTTCTTGGCGGGGTCCGCCACATTACCCGTCCAAAGCCTGTAGGTTATCTGCTTCCCTCGGAGCCAGAGCTTACAAGGCTGCCGGCCAGGCCGCTGCCGCTTTGCATGCTATGGCCACCTACCAGCACTACCAAGCGCAGGCACTGGCCCAGCTGCACGAGGATGGGTCCGACCCAAGCTTGCTTCGTGAGCTCCGCACCACAACCGACTATGCTCTTCGGACCACTAAGTCCGCTGCGTGTGTGTTGGGGAGGACGATATCCACATTAGTGGTCCAGCAGCGCCACCTTTGGCTAAACCTGGCTGATATGCGCAAAGTCGACAAAGTCTGCTTTCTTGACTCCCCCATATCTCAGGCTGGCCTGTTCGGCAACACCATCGGTGAATTCACCCAGTAATTGAGAGAGTAGTCTGATGCGATGTCATCATTCGGCGGGACCGTAAGCCAGCTCCGCCCACCGAGCCATCCATATCTGCTGCTCCTCGCCAAAGGCACCCGCCTACGAGAGCTGCCTCGCCCCCGCCAGCACCTCCAGTGAAGCGGGCGCGTCGAGCACCCCCCTCCCCCTCCCCCATGCCGAGGATGCTATTAAGTTCGGTAACCACGAACCATCCTCATCCAGAGAGGAGGGAATTTGCTCTTTGCCCGCTGGAGGGCTAGGCCCCACTTCCAACGGCACTTTTCACTGCCATGCAAACATCATTGAAAGAGCACTTTTCCACTTCCCCGGATGTGACAGCCCGAACTCTGCCAGTCTGGGACACTATGCTTTCCAGCTCCCAGGTTCTGTGCGTTTCACCAGTGGCTCACAGGCTCTCGGAGGACGGTCTCCTTTCTCCCTTCCCTCGAGCCCCCCCCTCTGGAGCTTGGGTGTGAGGTGAGAGTGAATCTCTCGCCTCCAGCTCTTCAACAGAACCCTCGCGCTTCCCGGATCAGCACACCCACTCCATGATGTCCCACTGGTGGTACGTCAGTGATTGTAGCGATGAGTCCAATAGCGAGTACTCTGCCTGCCTGGTTAGTGTGGTGGCTCATACGCACAATTTAACTCGGTTACGCGATTCATTTCACAAATTGGCCCCAAAAGTTCAAGGTTGTGTATTTCACCAGGGTCAGTTCCCATGTCCGCCCCGTCTTGCGAGAGGAGATTGCTGTCCTCCTGGAGAAAGATGCAGTCAAGCTGGTCCCTCCAGCCTAGATGGAGAGCGGGTTTTACAGCCCGTACTTCATTGTGCCCAGAAAGAGCGGTGGGTCACAGACAATCCCAGATCTGTGCATTTTGAACCGCTGTCTGCACAAGCTGGTGTTCCGAATGCTCACGCAGAAGCGCATCCTCGGGTGCGTTCGTACTCAGGATTGGTTTACAGCGACAGACCTGAAGGACGCGTAGTTCCATGTCTCCATTCACGCCACTGTCAGTTTGTGCGGTTTGTGTTCGAAAGTCGAGCTTGGCAATACAAAGTCCTCCCCTTTGTGCTCTTTCTGTCTCCACGGGTCTTCACCAAGCTCGCGGAGGGTGTCTTAGCGCCCCTTTGGCTCGCGAGCATCTGCATACTTAATTATCTCAACAACTGGCTAATTTTAGCTCACTCTCGGGAGCAATGGATTATGCACAAAGACAAGATGCTTCGGCACCTCCACCTGTTGGGGCTTCAGGTCAACCGAGACAAGAGCAAACTCGCCCCCGTGCAGAGGATCTCTTTTCTCAGGCTGGAGCTGGACTCGGTCCGAAGAGCGCGCTCAGCTAATGCTGAACTGTCTGAGAGAGTTCAACAGCAAAAAATGGTCCCACTAAAATTATTACAGAGGCTCCTGGGGCATATGGCATCCGCAATCTCGCTGCTCGGATTACTCCATATAAGACCACTTCAGCACTGGCTTAACGATCAAGTCCCAAGACACGCATGGCATGCGGGCACACACCGAGTCACTGTAACTGCTCTGTGCCGCCGCGCCCTCAGCCCTTGGAACGACCCCTCAGTCCTACAGGCCGGAGTGCCTATAGGACTGGTGTCCAGTCAGGTTGTTGTTTAAACAGATGCTTCCAGCAGGGGCTGGAGAGCTGTGTGTTGCGGGCATGCAGCTGCGGGCCTGTGGAAAGGAACCCAGTTGCATTGGCATATCAATCGCCCAGAGCTGTTGGCAGTGTTCCTCGCTCTCCATCGTTTTATTCTGGTGCTGGAGCAGCAGCACGTGCTGGTCAGGACGGACAGTACGGTGGCAGTGGTGTATATCAACCGGATGGGGGGTATTCGCTCTTGCTGCATGTCTCAGCTCGCCCGCCGTCTGCTCCTCTTGGGACATACATGGCTGAAATCAATGTGCGCCATTCACATTACAGGCGAGCTCATCCATGCAGCCGACGCACACTCATGACAGCCTTACTTCCTGGAGAATAGAGACTTCACCCCGAGTCTGTTCAGCTGATATGGGCACGATTCGTATAAAAACTAACATACAGTACCTTTAAGCTGAATACTTGTAACTTGCAAAATAACTAGTAAAATGTTATGTGTTTCCAACATGGAAAATAAAAAATTAACAAGTTATTAGAAATTAGTTAATAAAAATATTATATTTAAAAAATGTGATTTAAAAATATATATATATTTTAAGAAAAATATTTCTGCAAGTGTTGCTTAACAGAGAGATTTTTCAAGAATTTAAATTTCACAGGAGGCCTAATCACTTTGACTTCAACTTTAAATGACTTGTTTACAATGCTTGCAATGTTTGCAATAACTAGACTTTTTGCATAATTTCACATAGCTCTGCACCCCGTTTTTAATTATCTAGCTGATAGAATGGATTCTCAAAGGTCTGCATGGAATCAGCTTGTGCAGAAATCCACAAATTTCCATAGATTTTTGGCCCTTCATTGAGCCTTTTAATTAACTTGTGTATATGTCTGTAAATTTATATTTATTCAGTAAATAAATTTCAGTAATAATATTGACTAAGATGAATATGTTCATATAATTTATTTACAATACAGTTTGTAAAGTAATATTTTCTATCTTTTAGCAGATATATTATATGAGAGACTTGCTTTGTTTACCAAATAAGTGAATAAAATTAGATTTGCATTGTAAACATTAAACAAAAGTTAAAACGTATTATTTTTTTACTTTATATTTTAGATTTTTAGTTATGATACTCCTAAAATCATTTCGCATTAATCCGCAGATTAATTTCTTTCTTCTGCACAGAAATAGCAAAAAATGTCCGCAGATTCTGTCTGGCCCTAGTCATGAGTCAATCACACAATTCAACAAAGCTACATCATTTCCAGCATATTAAAACATGCATCATATGGTTACAGTGACCATGACTAACCTTTTGAGACTCAGTGTTGACTGGTGTGGCATCTGCTTTGACAGGGGTTGCAGCATCATGTGGCTGGGTCACAACGCTTATCTCAGCAGCATAGAGCGGATTTTCAACACTCTCCTAAAAGTCAGACAGTTGAAATGAACAGTGAGCCTAAAAGATTATAAATGAGTTCACTAATGCAGTCCCCATTTAAATGATCGTTTACACAAACGTCTAGTTGAACAAGACATATCTGAATGTATCAATATTAAATATTTGGCAGTGTCATGACTAGCCAGAGTGATTTAAGTGTTAGAAAAAACTGTGTAAAGCCTCTAATTATATTGCCATGAAGCATCATAAATCTGCACAAACACTGAGGGAATTTATAACTATATAAGATGCAGCAGACTCTTTCTGCCAGCAGAGGTCATACTTTGGCAGGTCCGTTTATGACTGAGGTGGCTGTAGCAGTTGAGGCAGCAGGACAGCTTTGTGTATCGTCAGCGTATGCTGGGTTTTCAAAGTTCCTTCCTATTTTCTCCACTTCCACTGACGTGCTGGATTCCTGAAATTGACCAAAAGTTAGAAGCAGCACATAATAAAATTGTAAACCCACTCTCTCAATATCATGGATGTACACAAACCAATGAAAACAGTAATACTGTCAAACACTATTTAAAATAAAAATAACAGATTTTTTGTTTAATATATGATAAAAAAAAATAAATATATGTGTTATTAATAAACTGTTTAGCAATCATTATTCTAATATTCAGTGTCCTGATTGTTCAGGATTTCTTACGAACACTCAAAAATTCTTATGCTGCTTATTCAAACTACTTATTTAAAATAAGTTGAGCCAACACAATTCTTAATGTTATTATTTTATGGGGGACAACTTAATTGTTTTATGTTAAATCCTTTAAACGTGTAGTTATTTATTTATTTTTTTGTGAAAACAAATAAATTAAGTTTGTGTTGGGAAAACATGAAGGAATTAAGCGAAACCCACCATTTTTTGAAGTGTATGCTGATTTGGAGCTTAATTTTAATTTCAATTAAACAGCATTTATCTGAAACATGAATGATTGAGCTTTTGTTGAATCTAATGCGATTTAAAAACACACACTAAAACAGCAATATTGTTAAAATAACTCATTTCATGAGTTCTCATTAACATATGATAAAATGAGTTTTATTATTATTAAATGTTTTGTAAGCATTACTCCAGTATTTTTGATTCTTCAGAAATTATTCTTATGCATGCACATTTTTATTTTTATTAAAATAAAATATCATTTATTTGAAATAAAAATATTTTAGCTTAATCTAATTTAATTTAAAGGGCACCTATTTTAGCCCTTTTACAAGATGTAAGATAAGCCTTTGGTGTCTCCAGAATGTGTCTGTAAAGTTTCAGCTTAAAATACCCATCAGATAATTTACTATAGTCTCCAGAATCTGCCCATTTTGAGGTCTAAATATACCGTAGCTGTTTTTGTAGCCTGTGGCTTCAAATTAAATTGAGATACTTCTCCCCGCCCACCACGTACTATACATTATACTAGATAAACAGCACAGTGACAGAGACAGACTAGGATTAGCATATAGGTCATTAGTCAAAAATACTATGTTTATTTTTTTCAAGCTTTTCTGAAAAGATGAGTCTCACACAAATGCTGTTTGCAGTACACAAATTAGCGTTTACTGACAAGAATTACATAGTGATTTTACTGTATTTATTTCAAACATGCTCTGTCTTAACTTAACTAAAAATCACAGAGTTATAACAAATATTTTAATCACAGTTTTTTTTTTTTTTTTGCAAAGAAATGTTCTGTGGACGTGTGTACATGCTATTATAGAATCATGGAGTCTGTCCATTAATTCAGTGGGTGGGGAAAACCACACTCCTATGTAATGTTGCTGTGGGCCTCAAAATCATTACTCCAATACGAGAGTGGACACACTATACATACACACAGTTCTGTCCAAACAGCTTACAAAAGTTGATTTCTTTTTTCAGGAGAAAGTCTTATTTTTTTTTTATTTCGGCTAGAATAAAAACAGTTTTTATTTTTTTAAAACCCATTTTTAGGTCAAAATTATTAGCCCTTTTAAGCAAATTTTCTTCAGATAGTCTACAGAACAAACCATCGTTATACAATAACTTGGATAGTTACCCTAACCTGCCTAGTTAACCTAATTAACCTAGTTAAGCCTTTAAGCCTTAAAGTGTTTTGAAAAATATCTAGTAAAATATTATTTACTGTCATTATGAAAATAAAACTATTATGTTTAGAAATGGATTGAGAAAATTTTTTCTCCATTAAACAGAAATTGGGGGATAAAATAAACAGGAGAGCTAATAATTTAGGGGGGCTAATAGTTCTAACCAGCTGTACATATTTATTTAAATGCATTGAGAACAAACCTCTTTGGGAAGGCTATTGCTGTCATTCTCAGATTCAGGTGAGTTGCTAAAACGTTCAGAGTTACCACGCCTAAATGTAAAAAAAAAAGTTTAATGAGATACATACTGAAACTGTATTTAATTGGAATAAACATGTATGATGTTCAGACATATAATGTTTTCACTCTTACCAGAAAGTGGGCATAAAGTTAGATACATTAACTGGCAGATTAATGTTATTCAGTCTGTTTTTGATGTTCTCCTTCTTATGTGCAGAATATATCAGGCAGCCCAGGAAAAGAGCCACAACAGCTGTAACTCCAAGAGCAATCGCAACTGTGGACAGACGGAATATGGGTCATGTGGTTCTTTTTGTTTGCATGAGAATAGCATGATAACGTGAAGGCTGATATCATGTACTGCCATAAATTTGTACCTGAAGTTGTGACTACACCATAAACGCTTGTCTCGCAGAAATCTCCTTTCCATTCAGAGGGGCAACTGAAAGGGGTAATTAACAGTCATATTTATCATAGTCCTATTAACAGTCATAATTAATAACAATACATATATAAGTTTACCCATGCCTTAAAGAGAAAGTTCACCCAAAAATGAAATTTCTGTCATCATTTAATCCACCTTTACTTGTGTTGAGCATCTTTGACTTTTTCGTCTGTTGGACACAAGAGAACAAAGCTGGAAATTTGAAACCTAATTTCCATAATTTTAGTTTAGTGCTATGGAAGTCGAAAGTACTTCCAGCTTTCTTAAAAATAACTTGTGTTTCACCCTTAATTGTTTGGAACCACTTGAGAGAAAGTACATTTCTATTTTTGGGCGAACTATCCCTTTAAACACTTTGAAATCCATAATATCTAAACACAAGTTTACATGCAGAGCGCCTTGTTGTCATCAAAATAACAGGTTCCACCATTCTTGCACTGGCATGGAGGGGGCATGGTCGGTTCAGGATCAATCCCTGATTAAAAAAAGAAACAAAAAGAAACAGACAAGAGTGAACAGATATATTTATATCTGAACACAAAAATGTGCCACGCAGACAAACTAAGTAGATATTTATGACTATTTATGACTAATCAATAAAAGATTGCAATCTTTATTCAACACCAGCTGGATTATTTCTAAATGACAGGAATCAGCCATATCTATTAAACCTTTGACAAGTACAACCCCAGCGCAACATTCAGATCTGCCTTCACACTGCCACTGTCAGTTATATATATATTATATATCAGTTATATTACTGCCTTAGTCTGCACAAACTCACAATATCCTTTGGTTTATTTTACAACAATAAAAGATGATCTTGCCTTGATTTGTAATTATTTAGTTAGGACAGTAAGGTCTGACTTTGATTAGATAAAAGTGTTGTCACTTAACAGAAATAATGTACAGTATAGAATAGGGATGTAACGGTATCAGAATTTCACAGTACGATAATACCTCGGTATGAATGGCATGGTGCGGTATTTATTGAATAATTTACAGGAAAAACAAAACTAATGAAAAGACTAGAAAACAGTGCCAAAAGTGTTTATTAACTTTAGCACTGAACATATCAATGACATACAAATTAGCCATCTATCTGTAAGTTTCGAAACAGGAACTTCAATTTTTCAATTTTAATAACAAAAAACTATTAAACCATATATAAAAAAAAGTTTCAATTTAGTATTGTTGAAAACTCATTACATTCAACATTTAATCACTCACTCACTTAGATAGAGATGGGTTTTTTAAAGAAAATTATCATATAACTATAATCTGGTTAAAGCTGGGATCTCTGGGCATGTCCCCTGCAACAGAAAAAAACCCTCTCATTTGGGACTGAGGTTTCTGGGACAGAGAGATATGATTTAGCCAAGGTTGACAGCAGTGGGTAATGTTGTGCATTGTCTTTCCACCACTTGAGAGGACAAGCCATGAGTGAGATAGAGGTCTCTTTGGGGTACAAGTCAATGTATGCATCAAACTAACAAGAGTGCTGTGTTCTGCAGTCCCAATGACTGTTTTTAGTCATATTCCCCGACTTATATTTCACCACAGTCTGGCAGTGCCTGCATGCTGTTTTTTTCTTTGTCTTTCATCTTTTCTCCTTTTTCGTATCTTTTTAGAAAGAAACCGAAATCCTTCCACACATCCGATTTAAAACTCGCTTTAGGTTCGATCATTTCCAGCTCTTTTTCTTCCCCACTACTACAGTAGCAACACACTCCATTTCCGCATTACTGGATCTGTAGTAACAACAGACGGCAAAGGATGATGGCTACATCTAGGCTGATGGGAATTGTAGTTCCCGCTACCTCCCCTTCGCTTCATTTGCCTAAGCAAACTTTTCTCAGAAATATAGTTTTATTGAGTCATGCGCCTACGGTAATATTAAAAAAATTACTATTGCGGTATGACGGTATTTACAATATTGTTACATCCCTAGTATAGAATATAAAGTCATGGTGCATTGTAAAAAAAATTATATTATGCATGACGCCCATGAGCTTGGAGGACTGCATCCATACATCTCTGCAATGGCTCAAATAACTTAATAATAAAGTCATCTGGAAAGGCAAAGAAAGTGTTCTTGCAGCACTCCCATAGTTCATTAAGATTCTTTAGATTCATTGCCAATGCCTCCTCCTTCATCTTACCCCAGACATGCTCAATAATGTTTATGTCTGGTGACTGGGCTGGCCAATATTGGAGCACTCTGACCTACTTTGCTTTCAGCAACGTTGATGTTGAGGCTGAAGTATGAGAAGGAGCTGAAGAATTTGCTTTCTTCTATGGTTTGTAATCTAATGGGCAGAACTTCTTGATACCTCAGGCTGTTGATGTTGCCATCCACTCTGCAGATCTCTCACACAATCTCATACTGAATGTAACCCCAAACCATGATTGTTCCCTCACCCAACTTGACTGATTTCTCTGAGAATCTTGGGTTCATGCGGGTTCCAATAGTTCTTCTGCAGAATTTTTGATGATTGGGATGCAGTTCAACAGATGATTTATTGGAAAAATCTATCTTCTGCCTCTATTCCAAAAGATCAGCTAGAAGTCAAGTTATTATTTTTTGCTCTTACAACTGAGATTGATGACAGGTTTTTGTCAGGTAGTGTAACGTTTGTATATAAACATGTATTGCAAGTAATTGTTAAAAAAAGCGTATGTCACTGTATCATTTAAGATATGTAAAAAGAAAAAAAAAAGAAAAACAATTCATCCAAGTAATGAAACAAACAAAGTCTTCATGAGTGACTCATTGAACCGTTCATTTGAATCATTTGAAAAAAAAAATCAATTCATTCAAATATTTTTAAAATTGTTTATTTCATCAAATTTTTTTAAGTATGTGTTTTTCTGGTATATATAACCTCTATTATTGCTAAAACCTGGAGACTGACATCAGCACTGTTGGTTTCAAAAGCTACAGTAAATTAGTTTATGGTCACATCATTAAGACAACTATAAAGACAGATAACGAGTATAAAATATACCTGCGTCACAAGCAGTACTGCTGCCAGGAAAGAAGCTGGTGCCCTCTGGACAGGCACAGGTGTATCCTCCTGGTCTCAGCAGACACAGGTGACTGCATGTGCCCTTGCAAGGGTTCTTCACTATTGAGGAGAGACAACTCATACAATGTTCAACCCACTCTACATTTGGAATATCACTTTTAGTGGCAATAAACTAAATCTAACTACCATATTTTATAAGCACAGCCATATTATACCATATTATAAAAGCCAGCTAAAGTTTAAACTGATTGGGTTTTACTGTATATAACTCATCATGCAAATTTCACTTTATTGAGGTTACTCACGGGCTATAGAGTTGTATTTCTGCTGCTGGTATATGTTGATTTGGGTGAGCCAAGGTCCTGTTACAAGGAGTCTGGTTTTGGTGCCTTTGCCAAACTTGTCCTGTCTGAACACTTCACCCTTTTCCTGTGTGCTCCAGTACACATGGTCTTCAAATACATTCACACTGAAAGGGTTTCTTACATCTAAGTGTGAGGAAACAGGGTAAGATATTTAAATGTTCCTTGTTGGAAATAATACAAGAACATACTTTTCCAATTTTTTAAAGGTACTTTGAATAATATAATAAAATGAAAGCAATGTTTTTCGACATGGAAGAACTTTAGGGTGCTTCTTTTAGCCACCTCAGAAGATAAAAAAAAAGATTATATTTGTTAAATTACTATTCATCACACTTAAAATGTTAATTTAAATGCAACATCAAAAAACACAAAACAGTGAAAAAAAAAAAAAAAAGGTTAGTATGCAAGTCAACACATGAAAGTAATTGAACGTCAGGTCAAGTCACCTTTATTTCTATTAAGTTTTTTTTTTTTACAATGTAGATTGTGCCAAATCTGCTTAACAAGGAAGAACAGTAAAGTAATAAAAGTCAGATAAACACACATAGCAACATTTCTCTGGTCCACACAATCAGCTTTTGCTTGCACCACATGCTCCAGTGAATTACCATACATGACTGGACCAAGTCTGGCTTCCAGACAAGGGCCAAATATGGACCATGTGGACCAAGTCTTGGCCAAGTTAATAACCAATAACTGGGCCAGATATACCCCATGTTTGGTCATTGTCTGGAAACTAGACCTGGTGTGTCACAACTGCTGTGAAAATGATAAACCCGTAAAGCATGAGATGCTTCAGTTGCATTAATAATGGTAATGGTTAGTATGGCTAGTATAAACTGTCAAATAAAATTTTGATTAATAAAATACATGTAACGTACGTTAAATTCAGTTGTTGGCTGTTCATTCTGCTTTGGAAACCCCAGATTAATAAAGGGACTAAGTTGAAAAGAAAATGAATGAATGAATTATGTTCCCTGAATCTTCCTGGATAATGAAGGCATTAGAAGATACAAACAGGAAGCTGGAAATGACTCTGTGTATTAAACAATTTTTTTATTCATTTATTAATTCATTTTTTTTGTCTTAGGGGTCACAGAGGAATGAACTTCTAACAAATTCAGCATATTTTTTACACTGCAAATGCACTTCCAGCTTCAACCCAACACTGGAAAGACACCTTTTACACTCTAGCATTAACACACATACACTATGGCCATTTTAGCTTATTCAATTCACTTAAACGTCTTTGAACTGTGGGGGAAACCGGCACACCCGGATGAAACCCATGGGTACACAGGGAAAACATGCAAACTCCACACAGAAATGCCAACTGACCCAGCCAGGGCTCGAACCAGCAACCTTCCTGCTGTGAAGTGATTGTGCTACCCATTGCGCCACCGTGACGCAAATTGTTTTCTCAAAAATAATTTGTAAGTGTTTAAAATATGGGTCAAGAAACGTACATGGCGCACATATCAATTTTTAACATTTGGCACATGTCATGCCTGCCCCCTTAAATCTGACCCATCTTTAGCCCACATGCTTTATGCAATTGCAAAATGAATGCCTGCCGTGCCAGCTTTATGCCAAATCTGGGCCAGAATTCTTTGCTACCTGGGAATAAATCAAGCAGGTGGCAGAATAACGGTAATGCAGAATACTAGTGTACTTGTATTGAGTTTTGTTCAGTTCAGTTCATAATGAATGTTAAAGGATGATCCACAACCAAGCAAAAAAGCAACAGTCTTCTTTAAATCGTTGTTTTAATAACTTACTGACATAACTAAAAGTATACAGCTTACTGCTAGTGTGCGTATTTTTACTGTTTAGTCCCCACAAATAGTAATAAGTTGTCATATGTTGTTTGTTTATAAGCATATTGTAATTTGGTTTTCCCAGTTACTGATTGTGTTCACCTATGCCTTGGTTAGTTCCTCGAATTTTTGTTTCCATTACAGTTCAATTAATTGTCCAGTTTTTGAATGTAATTTTTTTGTCTTCTAGTGATCTTGATGGCTCATGTAGACTTGCATGTTTTGTTTTAGTTTTTTTTTCAGTGAATTGACTTTTCTCTCGCTATTAGATCTTTACCTCACATTTTACTTGCAGCCATCATGCTGCTTTTTAAATAATATGTTATCTGCAAATATATTATATATATATATATATATATATATATATATATATATATATATATATATATATATATATATGTATATATATAGTGTAAAAGTGTGCAATCCATACAAGAAAGCACACTTCTTTTTAACAAGTAGATTCATAAATAGTAATTTCTACTTAAGTTTTCTACTCATATTTTAAGTGAGTAAATCATCAAACTCTTACCTATGAAAACCGATGTCTTTCTGTTCTGTCCATCTGGCAGGATGGACTCAATGCGACTCTCTTTTGCATCTGACCAATAAATCCGGTCACCATTTGTGAAGTCAATCGACAGGCCCGTTGGCCATCCCAAACCATTGTTTACCAGAACCTTTCTCTCTTGACCATCCAACCAGGAGCATTCAATACGAGGTGTGTTTCCATTGTCAATCCAGTAAAGCATGCTGGACCACATGATGACAAAAAGTGAAAATATTGGTATTTAAATGTACAGCTCCAACATACATGGTGATCATTTTTTTTCATTTTACGATCTGCTTCCTTTTGGAGATTTAGGTACGTTGCAGAGAAAATGTAATTGCTTAATTGTATGGATATAGAATGGCATGAAGATAATGTCAGATTGTTTTCTTTTAGGAGTGAACTTTCCCTTTAAACAGACAGTAAGAGCAAGTAAATCTCACCCCAAGCGAGGGTTCAATGCCACAGAATTAGGTGCTTCCAGGTCAGTTTTAATCAGGTGCTTCCTGTAACGGCCATCTAACATGGCCACTTCTAGACGCTTCAGCTGTGCATCAGCCCAATACAAATTCCTACAAGAATAATAAAGTCTCATGAGCTATTACTGACTCATTAACACAAACCTATTTATTATTTTTCAGTTTTATTCAAGTAAGTTATGTTTTTTTTTGGCAAATATTATTTAAAATGTACTGTGATTGCTTTACCTGCCAACCCAGTCCACTGCAATTCCATAAGGCTTAGTGATGTACTTTATATCCAGCTCCACAGCTGCAGCAATGTTATTATTATGATCATCCACATCTGGCAGAAAAGCTCTTTTAATAGCACCAGGCAATGCACCCCTCCCTTCTACTGTAAAATACACCACACCTAAAACACACCAGAGGAGTCACATATTAAGCACAAATAAATCATTATTCATTATTTTACATTCAAAGTGAATTTAGTAAGTTTATATTCCTATGTTATTGATTGTGTCAGCATGCCAATATATATATATATATATATATATATATATATATATATATATATATATATATATATATATATATATATAGTTAGTGTGTACTATACTGTATATATTAGAGCAGGATTTCTCAGCTCTAGTCCCAGGGACCCACCTAACACTATGCTTTGCTATTTTGCTAGTGCACATTGTTACTCTTTAGGTGAAAAATGTATTCATGCAATCTAATCCACTGACTTTTTTTTGTTTGTTTTGGTAATCTTCAAAGTCTGACCATTTGCTTCCATGTTTAGAATAACGGTCCTTCTTTGTAGACATCGGTTTGACAGCCACTAAACGACTTAAGACATAACCGTGTATGCGATTCGTAATTGAACACATTTACCTCACTTGCTTATCTTCATACAGACAATTTTTCCAGAGCAGTCAGTTTGCTCGGTAGCTCACCTCGTAAGGTGTTGCTCTTGGAATGTTGAGCAGCAAGGTCTTGCAAAGAATTTATCCATAAACCAGGTAAAAAAAAAAGCAAATGTGAAACTGTTGTAGAAGTACAAGGCTGCAATGCACTCTTCTTGTTTGTAAACACTATTGGCTGGGTTTATAAGAAGGGGGTGTGTGGGTCATTTGATCGAAGGATCATATATTATGAATCACAAGCCAGATGTTTTTTTCATGAACAAGCATGTAAATGGCATGCATGAAAAATTTATCCCAGTCATGTATTTGAGATTCTCAAAAATGTACACAGTGGCCTCTGGTGGATTTGTAAACAGACATTGAAAAAGCCATGTATTTCGCAGTGCACAAAATAACACTGGGCAATTATTTCCAATGAGTCTGGGTTGCATAATTACAAAAGAAAATTTATAAAAATAAAATTTTGTGCGTGTGTATGAAATGGACTTGTGCCATGGGTTTAATTTTGGAAGCACAGAAGGATTGTCATTAAGTGCATACTAAATCCAGTGTTGTTGTGGTCCCAGTCGTAGTCCAGTGCCACAATGCGCTCCTCTTCCTGCAAGAAGTCATGATACTCCTCTGTCTGAAGATTGTATCGGCGAATGCGAATGTTCTCTGGCAACAGAAGCAGTGGTCCAGGACCTAAGAAAAAGATGATTTAGGATGATATACATTTCCAAAATGTCTTGACTTTGTACTTTGAAATTTCTGTCCTACCTTCGGCCTCACACTGATTGCCTGTGCCAGCTTTCCTGTAGCCCTGGGCACAATCACAGTGATAGCTTCCTTTAGTGTTCATGCAGGCTTGTGGGCATGTGCCATATTCTAAACACTCATCTATATCTGTAGGGAGCACAATAGACATAGGCTTAGAGTCAAATGAATCACCAACCGAAGTAAGAATAAGATGTAAATGCATTAAGTGTTACATTATATTCAGAGACTTTGAAATTCATTCTTTCAGCAAAAGAAATATTCTCCAATCAGATGCGAGATGTGCATTTGTGTGTACCGTTGCAAAGAAAGGTGTTATCAGGATCTACTGCATAGCCAGGACGACAAGAACAGATAAAGCCAGTGCCATTCAGGTTTGTACACTCATGCTTGCATAACTTCTCATCACAGTTGCGATCATGGCCAAAATCTGAAAAGATGAGCTCATCAGCAACCTGACAGACGAAATCTAATGCAGTTACTTTAGAGTTCTATTTTAAGAAAAATAATGATGAAATAGGGTATTTGTTGGCTTACTGCAGCCCAGCTCATCAGTTAGGTCTCCACAGTTGTTATTGTGGTCGCACACGTAAGGCAGAGGAACACAGTGGCCATTTGAGCATTTAAACTCATTTGGTGTGCAGGGGGCGAGAGTGGGTTCTTGGCCTGATTTAAACAAAACAATCATACTGTCATGCTCTATGAAGCACCAGAGCACTATATATAATTTTATTTATTTTTATATAGTTTTATATATTTATATTTATTGTATATACTATAAATATTTAAATGTATTACACAACAGTATATTCAGGAAGCTTTGAGTGTTTGTATTGCAAATAGAAACAATTATAATCCAAAAAAAAAAAGCTTGAAGGTCAAAATTATTAGCCCTCTAATGTTAATAGTCAATAGTGTTTCCCCTATGCTTGATAACAGTCATCAGTCATTTATTGTAGCACTCAACAAGTTTCAAGCATGTCGGAAAGAGTGTTAGCCAATTCTTCGTTAACATATCTCCGAAGCTCTTTCAGCTTTGTTGGTCTTCTAGCATGAACTCTAAATTTTAGTGTGCCCCAAATATTTTCTATTGGATTCAAGTCTGGGCTTTGTGCAGGCCAGTCAAATACTTTCAATTTGTTCTGTTGGAAGTAGTTCTTTACCAGAAGTGAGGTATGCTTCGGATCATTATCATGCTGGAATACAAAACATCGACCCAAACCAAGACTGTCTGAGGTTGTTTTTCAAAATCTTCTGGTAGTCTTCCTTTTTCATGTTTCCTTCAACCCTTGATGAGTTTCCCAGTTCCAAATGCACTGAAACATCCCCACAGCATTATACTCCCACCACCATGTTTTCCTGTGGGAATGGTGTTTTTTTTTTTGGGTCAAACACCTCTGCCTTCCTCCAAACATAAGCAACATCTCTATGGCCAAAGTGCTCATCTCATCTGATCAAAATATGTTTGTTATTTTTCTCTAAGTTGTCCTAGGAAAAAGTCAGTCGAGCTTGTAGATGTCTCTTCTTTAAAAGTGATGTCTTTCTTGGTCGACAACCTTTCAGTCCACTCCTGTGCAGGGCTCTAGGGACCGTCTTTGTTGAGACATTAATCCCAGACTTGGCTAAATCATTCACTAGTGTCTTGGCTGTTGTTTTGGGGTCTTTAGAAACATCTCTCACTAGTTTTCTTTCTAAAGTTTTTAAAATCTTTTGCTTCCTATGCCAATTATGTTCTCCAGGGTGTGGATCTCAATAAACTTCTTGACAATACTTCCGATGACACTTCTTGGCACTTGAAAACGCTTTGATATAATGTATATACTCCTTCTTTGTGAGGCTTAACAATTCTTTTTTGCAAGCATAAACTAATTTCTTTTATCTCTGCCATGGGGACAGAATGCATTATTGTATATTTGTTTTTCAAGATACTAGTATTAAGCTCAAAGTGCCTGGTTAATTATGTTAACTAGGCAAGTTAGGGTAATTAGGCAAGTAATCGGACAATAGTATATTTTCTTCTATAGCCAGTCAAAAAAATAATTACTAATGGGGGCTAATAATATTGACCGTATCTGTTTTTACTTTTTTTTTTTAAATAATCATATTGTTTCAGCCAAACTAAAAGAAATAAACCTTAGGTAGCACTTTATTTTGATGGTCTATTTGAGTATTAGTAGACTGTCTGCTTAATATATGTTGATACTGCTCCTTCAACAAACATTTAACTGACTACAAGAAACTTTACAAGTACATATTAACTAACTCTAACCCTAACTCTAACCTAACAGTCTACTTATAATCTAATGAAAATTAGTTGCAATGTAACTTAAATTCAATAAACAAACCATCAAAAAAAAAAAAAGTGTGACCAAACATTTTTTCATAGGAAAAATACTACAGGAGATGCTGTGAAAAAATGTCCTTTAGTAAAATATTTGAAAAAGAATATAAATTTCATTAAAGGGCTAATAATTTTGGCTTCAACTGCAAATATACAATTAACTTTTTAAAATATGTAATACATTAATCCATTTTTAACATATATGCATTTCATCATTTAGTGATGTTAGTTATTGATTGGTGTAGCCTTGGCGAGCATATAACAGACATCTTACAAAGCTTCTCTTTTATTTTTAGTGTATTTGTGGTGCATTGTACATGTAGACAATTTAACTGTTCTTGTAGTAAAATGATATGAGTGAATCTCTTACATTGGTCCTCTTTTTCATCACTGCCATCACCACAGTCGTCTTTCTGATTACACATGAGACCACTATAAATGCAGTAGCCATTATCACAGCGGAACTTGGTAGGCATTTCACATGTAATGTTCCCTGATCACAAAAAAAGTTGTAACAGTAAGACACCAAAAATTTTCTGCATGAAATTAAGCTTAAACATAAAACACATTGTAATTATAATTGTTTGAAATTATATTTGAATTTGTATTGTTTTTGTTTTCTATGATGCCTTACAACAGAGACTGAGCTGCTCATCAGAGCGGTCTCCACAGTCATTGAAGCCATCACACACCCATTGCTGATTCACGCACAACTTGTTGTTGCACTGAAACTGGTGTGCTGGACACCAGCGTCCTCCAGGATAGCGAGTGGCTGTTGGAAAAACAGAAAGTTACAGAACAATCTTTTCCATTGTATGCAATAAAGATAATTTATTCCTGATATTTCCAGCTCCTAATATTTCCAGCCCAGCACACTCACGGCAGGTGGACTCATCAGAGAAGTCCAGGCAGTCAGCATAACCATTGCATTTAAGAGCTTCTGGGATACAGTGTCCAGACGTACACTGGAATGTTCCAGGACGACATGTTCGTAGTTCTAAAAAATAAATAAATAAATAAATAAATAAATAATTTGTAAATCCCATGGTAATCCAAAAAAGACACGAAGGGGACTTTTCCGCCATTATGTTATGATTTATAGCGGTGTTTTCCTAGCAGGCTACTGGAGAGCATTCTCTGTCATTTACAAGAACTACAAGTCCCATCATGCCCTACATTCACACACCGTTTCAGTTCACTTATTACACACACAGTTGAATACATCATCACTGACCATATGGATTATATATACACAATTCACACACACATATCCATTGTTAAGACTTGTTTCCACTGTGAGTTTTACAAAGTATTTTCTTTGTCTTGCTTTGCCATGTTCCTGACCATTTGTTTAACGTTATTTGATTATTTGCTGTCCGTCTCGCCTGGCTATTTGTTTAAGATTTTTGATTATATGTCTATATTACTGCCTGCTCCTGTTTCAACATTTGCCTACCTTACAACTTAAATAAATTTACATTTTTATCCTACCCCCAGTTGTTCCACTCCAGTTCAATACAGAAACCCAAGACCGGGGTTGTTACATATAATGTGATATAGTTCTGAGTGAAATAATACATTTAACAAGAAAATGTATTTGGAAAGTTCAAAAAATATTATGTTTAAATATAGAAAAATGTTAAAGGGGCATTTGAAAGACATGATAGTGAGGGGAAAATGCTGATTTTTATTTTGGGTTAAACTAAATCTTTAAGAGTAAATGGTGTTTATATTGACTTCAGCTTACCGCAGTCTCTCTCATCAGAATTATCTCCGCAGTCATTGTCATGATCACAAACCCAAGCTCCTGGAATGCACTGCTGGTTGTCACACCGATACTCACTTTCAGAGCAAGGTCTGGGTTCTACGAGTACATGCATAAAAACTGAGCTCCAAAGACCTGAATACATACTAAATACATGTTGAGGTGACTTCCATACACACCTTGATGGCAATGATTGACCAGTGCATTACTCACCACAGTTTCTCTCGTCAGATCCATCGCCACAGTCATTGCTCCCATCACAGCGCCAGCGGATGGGTACACATCGATGGTTATCACAGCGAAAATCTCCCAGAGGGTCACAGGTTAGCTCATCTGTGTGCAGCAAAATGTGGGAATTGATTATTATTTATTTATTAAATGTTACAGATGGAATTTGAATCCCTGTTTCTACCTTCAAAAACTAAAACTGTATTTTTTTTTATTTATTTATTTATTTTTATTAAAGGGCACCTAGGTTACACTTTTTTTTCGATATAAAATCAGTTTTTTTGTGTCTCCAGAATGTGTCTGTAAAGTTTCAGCCCAAAACACCAATGCATGGTTGCTTTGTACAAGGTAAGGGGAGTAAGCCTGTGTATCACCATGCGCATGATCATCCTCTCATTCGGTATTCACCTGCTTTCTTTTGCCTGCGCGAATGGTTATTTTAACAGTTAGTTGTGCTGCTTCTCGATTCTAAGATCACGTTTGCACGCATATTCACAATTGGTCAAAAACTTTAACTCTAATCTTTAGTGAGTAGTCAGCAATGGCAATTAAAAAATTATTTTCAATCAGCCAAAGTGGCTAGTCGGTGTGACGCTCTAGCCCGCCACAGCTAAAATCTACCCCTATTTGGCGGGATGGTGGGTGTTAAGGTCAAGCCCTGTTGATTAAACAAATAGTTCAACCAAACTGAAAATTCTGCCATTATATACTCACCCTTTACTTGTTTCAAACAGAGATTCTTTATCCTACTGAACACAATAGCAGATATTTTAAAAAGCCATCTGTAAACATTAAATTAGTTTTCCCTACTATGGAAGTCAATGGATACAGGTTTGAACTTTCTTCAAAATATTTTCTTCTGTGTTCAACAGAGTAAAGACACTCAAAGGTTTTAAACCACTTCAGGGTGAGAAAATAGTGAGTAATTTTTCATTTTTGTGTGAACTATCCCGTTAACAAGAAAACATTTGAAGGTATGTTCGTAGAGTATAGTTCGTATTCTTCTTCTTTAGATGTTCATTTCTGTATTTGTTTCTGTTAATGTTTCTGTCCAACCTTTTTTGAATCAATTGAAATCATTCTATAGGACTCACGACAGGTGTTCTCATCACTGTTGTCTAGACAATCATTGGTGCCATCACACACAGCCCATAGAGGTATACAACGATAGTTTCCTTTGCAGGGGAACTCGGTGTCTGGATCACACTTATAGTCAGGACCCACTACAAAAACAGATTGAGAAAAAAGATCAGTTAACTCCAAGTAGCTAAAGAAAAGTAATTTTTTCTAAAGAGACACTCACTGCACACTTCATATGGCTCATCTGAATTATCTCCACAGTCGTTCTGTGCATCACACACATAACTTTGTGGTATGCAGCCTCCTTTTTTGCATTGAAACTGTCCAGGTTTACAGGTCTTGTCTATGCAACTGTCCGTTTCCTCATCACTGCCATCTGAACAGTCCACCACACCATCACAGTGCCAAGTTATGGGAATACAATGCTTATTTTTACACTGGAACTGGTTCTCAGTGCAACGGTGGTCACCTGGATAATGAAAGAAGTTTTTAGAGAAACAACTGTTAATCCAAGAAGTCAAACTTTTATTTTTTTGTGTGTTAAACTGTTATTAGGGCCTTTCACACTGGGTAGTTAGAATTCAGTTACAGGAAGCTAGCCACTCCCAAAAACAGAATGTTTCGTCAGGACATTTTCCTGGTAGGAACTAGGTGACATTGACAGATGTGACATCAAATGTGGCATTCAGCAAATTAACCACTGAAAGAAGGATGGTGCTGTGATCGAAGCTGTATCATAAATTTTATAATAACAGAGAAAGAATGTAGAGCAGTAGTCCAAAGGACTATAAAAACATTCCTTTTAAGAGAAAGCCCCTACTACAGTATAACACACCCTTGGTTGAGATATTCTAGACTCTAAGTGTTTCATACTGCAAAGTGCAGCGTCTTCATCAGATCCATCAAAGCAATCCTTGTGGCCATCACATAGGAAAAATGGGTTAGTGCAGTTCCCATCCTGGCACTGAAACTGCCCAGTTTTGCAGTAATGTGGAGGACACGTCTGAGGCTCATCAGAGCCATCACCACAATCTGACTGGCCATCACACTTCCACCATATAGGAATGCACCTGGAGACAAAAGGCAGAGACATCTTAAAATATCATCTTGTGTGCCAAAATATTCACATTAAAGCAAAACTAATTGAAATACATTTTCTCATAATACAGTTAAGCCCATAAATATTTTTGGCTCTATACACCAACACAATGGATTTGAAATAAAAAACAAACAAGATGTATTTTAACTGCAGACTGTCAGCTTTAATTTAAGGGTATTTATGGCATACCTAAATCAGGTAAACCCTGTAGGAATTACAGTAGTTTGCATATGTGCCTCCCACTTGTTAAGAGTCTAAAAGTTATTGGACAAAATAATCAAAATAAATCAAACTTGGTTACAAATCCTTTGCAGTCAATTACAGCCTGAAGTCTGGAACACACAACATCACCAGACACTGGGTTTCATTCCTGGTGGTGCTCTGCCAGGCCTCTACAGCAACTGCCTTCAGTTCCTGCTCTTGGGGCATTTTCCTTTCAGTTTTGTCTTCAAAGGGTGAAATGTAAGCTCAATCGGATTCAGGTCATGTGATTGACTTGGCCATTGCATGACATTCCACTTTTTCCCTTCAAAAACTCTTTGGTTGTTTTTGTAGTTAAGTATGGGTCATTGTTCATCTGCACTGTGAAGCACTGTCCAATAAGTTCTGTAGTATGTGTTAATATGAGCAGAAAATAACACTTTGGAATTCCCTTCTGCTGCTTTTGTCAGCAGTCGCAGCATCAATAAATATAAGAGAACAAGTTCCATTGACAGCCATACATGCCCACGCCATGTCATTTGGTGTAGCTAAGCTCACTGGTCTGTTTTTCCTTTTTAACAATGTTCCAAACATTTGTTTTTACCATGCCTAATGTTTTTGCCATCTTTCTTATAGGTTTTTATTTATTATTTATTATTTTTTTTTGCCTAATGATGGCTTGCTTGACTGATGGTGACAGCTCTTTGGATCTCATCTTGAGAGTTAACAGTAAAAGATTTCAATTGCAGACAGCACTCTGATCTTTTATCTGCTCATTGTAAATGGGATAATGAGGAAATGACATACACCTGGTCATGGAACAGCTTGAAAGTCAATCGTCCAATTACTTTTGGACCCTTAAAGCTATGGTGACATTAGAGCTTGAGCATGCGATATTCTGTCGTGCGGCTCTGCGAAAAGGGGCAGGATTAAACAAGCTTAATAGACATTTAAAAAAGCGAGCGATTGCTCCATGTTTTAAATTTCTGTCCAGAGAGGTCGTGTTTTGATCCTCAATTGGTCTCATGCAGTCAAGTGATGCGATTTTGCAGGTCAGAGTTCACCAAGCTTGAACTTTGCACTGCAGCAACCTTCGAAACTTGATGCTGTGTTTCCGGGCTGACGCATTTGCGTGCATATGAATGGAAGTCTATGGGAGAAAAAGCCCAGTGTGACCGCAGCTAAACAAGTGGGATGCACCAATGTAAACTGTTGTAATTCCTACAGCGTTCACCTGAATTAGATGTAAATGCTCTCAAATCAAAGCTTGTTTGTTTAACTTCAAATCCATTGGGTTAGTGTATAGAGCCAAAAATTTTGGATTTGCATCGATGTCCAAATATCTATGGACCTACCTGTATATATTGTAGTATAGGCTCTGTTTAAAGAGTTTTAAAAATTTCCGCCATTACAATATCTGAATCATAGCTCCAGGTAACTTATATTGGAAATGACTCCATTACAAGTAACAAGTCACCAATTCCAGTTCCACTTGAGTAAAAGTAGTGTATACAGAAGTCCTAAATAAAGACTCACCAATACACTAATCCACAACACTCAAGTGACATGTCAGTGAAACAACAATTACATTGCAGTCAACATAAAATGCTCTCACTACTCTGGCTTATTCCCTTGTCAAGGGGAATCTAAAGACACTCAAAAATCAAGGAAGTTCAAGTGCCCAAAACGTGTATACTGTAATAAGTACAAAGTGACAAAATCGTTACTTAAAGTGATAGTTCACACATAAATAAAAACTAAAAAGGCTCTAAAAAGTTATGAAACCATCACTGAAGTAATACATGTGACTTCAGTGTTTGAGCCTAAATTTTAAGAGGGTTTTTTGTACACAAAGTATTTACAATATTGATTTGATCGATTAATTGTGCTCAAAGTATTTCTGTAGCTTAATAACATTGAATAACAACCACCAAAGTCGATTAATCTTTTAATTAATTATAGGTTTTAAGCACTTTTTTCACTTTCACTTCAAACTATTGTTTATTGCGCATTAAAAAAGCATGTAACATATGGACCGCAGCTTAAGAACGGGATTGTCCTTAAATATCATATTTCTTACTGGTAATGATCTGCTAGTGATCATAAGTGCCAGAACGACAAAGATCATTCCTTTGACACCTTGGGCCCTATCGTACACCCGTTGCAATGTGGCGCAAAGCAATAGTTGTTTGCTACTTTCAGCTTGGCGCAAGAGTCGTTTTGCCTTTTTGCGCCACGCTGTTTAAATAGCAAATGCATTTGCGCTCATATGTACGCCCATAGGCATTCTAATCTAAAAAAAGCAGGCGTGTTTTGGCTGCTGGCACATTGCTATTTTGAAAAACTATAATAGTCTGTTCTTTAGACCAGAACAAAGCCGGTCTAAAGTCCAGCGCAGAGAGAGTTTGTTGTGCGCCTCACTTACATACTGCTTAATACACACAAGATGTACAGCAATACGCAAATATCTTTACATATGAAAAATAATTAAAATATTAAGGATATATATATAGGATATAATAGGGATATATATAGGATATAAATATAAAGGATTAAAAAATTATAAAACATAATATTTTCTAGACGTACTGTACAAGACAGACCCACTAAATTCAGGTATTTAGTCATGTATAATGCTGTGCCCCTTTGTCAAAAAGGCGTTTTTATAGTCTTGGTGGTTCTTAATAGTTGCGTGCAACTGAGTTAGTTTTGCTATTCCTTTATCTAAATTCTTTTATCTCCTCGCTTTCTTTTCGGATTTTGTAGTCATGTTTTGTATGTTTGTGGTTGTTATATGCTAGACTAGTCAATAAATCACGCTATATAACAATGTTGGATTGTCATTGTTTCACCTCACAGAAAAGGTCATTTTAACAGTAAAGACCCTTGATACAAGCTTATTAAGTTTACTAAAACTTCTAAACTATTCATCTACTTCACAAGAAGTAGCTATAATTCCCTTCCTAAATAAGTAAATAATTACAGAATCTGCTCAGATGGGCAGGCAAAAATTTATTGTTATATTTATTTTGTTAAATTAACTATAAGTTATTTCTGAATATTCACAATTAATAATAATAAATATGACCCCAACTAAACTAAAACAAGTTTGTAACAAATTAATGACATGGCACTTTTCAAAATAAAATCATTTATCAAAATTTTCGTCATTCATAATATTCACAAAAAGTATTATCTGGACATCCATTGGGAAGGCAATCTAAAGACTAGTGTAAGAATAAAAAATTATCACATGCATTTGTTTATATGGCAAAACATTTTTTTTTTCACCAAGAAGGTCCATACTGATTCTAATGGCAGATACAGGTGAGATTAGGGTTTGCCTAATATGTGCTTTGTGCTCTGTGCTTTTCCTGCTCTGTGCTTTTCCAGTTCTGCACCACTCCAGATCTTATCTGGCTGTACTACTATCAGGCTTAGACTCTTCTTCCCTCTCTGGTAACTTTATTTTACATTCAAGCCGAGTACAATTATTATTGCATGTTTTTATCACTTCATATTTAATTATTTTATACTGTTATTTTGTAATTAATTCAGTTGTAACCATAGATAATTATTGTCATCAAACCATTTCATTTTCAAGTATTTGTGAATGACTTTTGATTTAACATCAACACTTAATTGCTCCATATTCCAATACAAAACAATCACTTAATAGCAACACTCTCCCACATTTTAAGCTATTAATTCCAGAAGCATGGTTTGACTAGAAATGTACAGTTTTTCACCATCATACTGATTACTTTTTAGTCATTCGGAAGAATTACAGTTGGAACCGCAGTAGTTAAAACACCATTCTTACACTAGCATTTTTATAAGATTAATTAAATACCCTGGGAAATCATGAGATAATTAATTCACATACTTCTCATTGTCTCCACAGCGGAACTGAGTGCTGGAGCAGTCGGCCACACACTGAATCTTAAATCCGATAGCCAGACCAATGAAGTGGTCCGGACATTCACATCTGGCCTCCGTCCCACCCGGACCAATCAGACACAGGTGACTACAGGTCAGGTAATGGTCATTGCATGGATTTTCACCTAAGAATATATTAATTAATTATCCAAACAGCTATCAAACAATTGAAGTTAATGGTGAACTAAATAATATGCTGTCTTACTGTGTGGCTGTCTGTAAGGGTGATAGATATGAATGTCATTAGGGCGATGTGTGTTGTTGCCCATTACAACACGGTTAGCGCCTGTGTACTTGTGAGCTCGCTCTATGGTGTGGGTATTCCAGTCAGTCCAGTACACCAAATCCTCAAACAGAGTCAGAGCGTAAGCATGGGGCAAGGAGCCTGTTATAGCTCTGTGTCTGTTTTGACCATCCATATCAGCATAACTGTAGCAAAACAAATATTAGAAGAACAGCTTTTAAGAATACACAACACATAACATATTAAGGTTAAACAAGGCTACAATTGCACTGTCTCTGGACAGCTATTAACAGCATACAAGACCAATTTGAATGAGGGAAAAGTAAAATCGCTAAATAAATAAATAAATAAATAAATAAATAAATAAATAAATAAATAAATAAATAAATAAATAAATCAGAAATTTTCTGATGAACATAATAATTGACATTAACTGCCTAATAAATGCTATTTCTTATGCTTAAATTACATAAAAAGTGTTTTGGGTCAGTCAATGTGAAAGTGTCAAGTCTACATGGGAACCAGAGCTTCTAAGGGCAGCTGAATTGACTCAAAGATTTTTCCAAATTATGACAGAATTTATTTATTTGGAAAGCAGACATTATTCTACCATAGCAACACTGGTTTTATTTAAAATTAATTAGTTTAAAAAGTTTTTTTGGTATGAAAAAAATGTTCCTAATAACAAATGGTGAATCTCAAAATCAATGTCCATATTTAAAAATTATAATGTTTGGATTAAAAAAAAAAGTATTTAAAATGTTTTTATTATTTGCTTTATTCATTTAATTGAAGTACAATTTTTTTCTGGGCCTATATTGGATAATTATAGATGAATTGCTGGTTTGTAAACATTCAAGATGCATGCACAGTGAGTTGGCAGAAAAAAAATGGGAGCGCTAGAATTTACAGCGAGGGAATGACATCTGATGCGGTACAGAGTTTGTTGTTGTTTTAGAGATAAGTTATATTGATTACATATCTATGTGTGTGTGTATATATATATATATATATATATATATATATATATATATATATATATATATATATATAAATAATAGCGTATTAAAACAGCTTGTCATCCAGTGATAAGCACAGTGATTCAGGCAAAACTAACGTTAAAGTAAGCAGCGTTCGTCTGTCAGGTACATTTGCGATAGCACCCCTCCTAATAAATATTAGATAAGACGAAACGGCCATTTAACTATATTTAACTGTTTTTTTTTTTCATTGCTGCAATAAAAAACGAGTAATGTGTATGATTCAGCATAGCGTGAACTTATCTGATATAAAATGAGAACTGCAGAGTTGAGCATTTTTTATTAGGTGCTCACTCCATTCAGGTCTCCTGATGTCTGTTAGCCAAAGACGTCTGTGGTTGGCATTAAAAGCAGTGTGGTAGAATTTACAGTAAAAGTTAAGTTTTCTATTTTTTAACTTCTATTTTTCTTGAATTTGGCATCCTACCGCACAACACGACATGTTTGCTATTGCAACCTTTCTTTTTTTTGCCGTTGAACCCATGTGACATCATGTGTGACGTACTGTAGGTTGGTAATTCCCCTTATGGTTCAGCTGTAATTATCAATTTAACTTGTGAGTTTTTAAAGGGATATTTCACCCAAAAATGTCATTATTTACTCACCCTTGACTTGTTCCAAACCATTTTTACACAAAAGAACATATATTGAAGAAATTTGGAAACTTTTGACAAATTCACTTTGACGTATATACTAGGAAAAACAAATGCTATGAAAGACAATGGTTATAGGTAGGGCCAGACAGAATCTGCAGACTTTTTTTTTTTTGCTATTTCTGTGCAGAATTTGTAAAAATTGTGATTATTTTGAATAATTTAAATGATTTTGGTAGCATCATAATTAAAAACTTATCATATAAAATAAAAAGATCCACTTATTTGATAAACAAAGCAATTCTCTCATATAATAGATCTACTAAAAGACAGAAAATTACTTCACAAACTGTATTGTCAATAAAACAAATTATTTTTTTTTTGGTCAATAAACTTACTGTTATTAATTGAAAAAACTGAATAAATATAAATGTACACTCATCTACACAAAGAAAATAATAAGTAAACTAATAGGCTAAAAAACTGCGTGAATTTGCGGATTTCTGTATGCGCATATTCGTGTGGGCCTAGTTATAGGTTTTCAACTTGCTTCAATCGTATTTCATCATATTTTGTTTTAAACAGTACGAAAAAAAAAAACTTTTTGGTTTGGTACAAGTGGAGGTCGGTGTTTCTCTAATGCTTTTGTTATTGCATTTATTGTAAAAAATAAAATAATATACCTACTCTTGTAATTGGATCTAGATTTCACAACTTACTCAAGGAAATTAAGGTGAGCATCAGCAAAAAATATTTTGTTGTTGGTATAATCGATGGTCAGGGCATGCGGCCACACTAGCTTTGTGGTGATGAGAGCTGATGCTTGGGTTCCATCCATGCCAGCTCTGCCAATGAAAGCCTTCCTCCCCCAATCTGTCCAATATAGCCATCTGAGCAGGAACAGGGAAGGGAAAGTTTAGACAGCTGTTCAATATTTTCAAGTTCAAGTATTCACTTAATTTTAGCTCACCCATATTTAGGGTTAACAGCAACCGCCTGAGGACTGGCAAAGCAGTATGTGGAGTTGGTATCAACACAGTCTTTTAGGAGTTTTTTCCGGTAACGTCCATCAAGTTCAGAGACATGAATGGCTTTCATAGTCGCATCTGCCCAATACAGCTTTCTGCAAGGAAACATCCACTCTTAAATTAACCTTGCCCAGTTGTTTTAAAGGTGTGGTATAATGCTATTTCATGCATTTAATGTTATTTACATTGTTAAAGAAATGGACTGTCATGCTCAAACATGGGTCAAGTTTAATAAATATATATATATATATATATATATGATTTTTGATATATTTCCATAGCGACATCTGTTTTATGACATGACATGCCACAGCCTCACACACTGCAGAGGAGATTAGAGCTGATAGATTTACAACATGTTAATTAGTCAACTTCTTCTAAACTACTATACATGAGAAGAGTAAACATTCTAGTTGACTACACAATTGTATCGGTTTTGAATAACAAACACTGTAATAGTATGTGTAAATGATCATACAGACATTAATGCCACTGAGATTAGCGTACCTTTTAGAAAACCCAACCTAATGAGCCTAACCTCATCTCAGATAAGCTCTGTGCTCAACTTTCTATGCCCCTACACCAGCAATTGCAGGTAGGCAGATTTGATTTTAGCAGCTGATTGATGATGTGCTGAATATTCTAATAGCACCGGAGTGATACTGTACCAGCAAAGACTGATCATAGTGTACTGTATCATATTGTGATTGTATGCTTCAAGGGGCTTTGTTAGCAAAGATGGTTCTTGTTTTCCTTCAGTTGCTAAACAGAAATTGACACGCTTTTGAACAGTTGACTCAGTAGATTTCTGTGTTTTCAGGGGAGAATTGCAAATCTTTGACTTAAAGAGCCTCTATTATGATTTTTTTTTAAATGACCTTCCATGCAGTGTAACAGAGCTCTAAGTGAAGTAAAATATCCAGCTGATGTTTAAATCTGAAATTGCGCTGTGTTTAAAACTAATGATTCATCTATAAAAGAGTCGACTGAGAGGGGTTTAAATAAATCTTGTCTCTTTAAAATTTCGTGTCAGCGTGACGTTAATATGGAACTCAAACCAGCCCATTTGTTAAGCGTGCAAACCCTTACCCACAAACATTTTAGCAAAAAATGAAGTACATGACAAACACTGTTGCAGATCCTGGTACAATTATGAAGCGAAGGCACTGTGCTTTGAAGTGTGAGGGAACGTTATTGTTACTGTTATTTTTCCTACCCAAGGAGGAGGCTGTTAAGAGTCAGTGATTGAAGTTTATTTTGGGAAAATAACTCAGGGTTATTGCCCAGCCTTGAGCTTTGTTTCTGTCATATTTCTGATGAGTTCTATAGCAATATACGCGCTTACAACGGGGGATTCATCAGTCGTTTGTTAAAGGAAAAATCAAGAACGACTATTTATGTACGGGACTTTGTCAGAGCTTGTAAGGAACTTTACAGTACACAGTTAATGGATCAGTTTCTTCTTCCATTTCACAAGTATAAGTAACTTATGTGTGATTAAAATAGTTGCCTACTTGTTTTCTCTAGCTTACAAAATGTGTTTAACTGTGTTTTGTTACTTGTAACCACTCCACACAGCTTGTAGTGTATCTGGTTAACTCTTTATATTCACATATCGTGTCTAAAACAGATTTATTAATCATTCTTACTGAGTAATGAACGCAAACTGTCGTAGATTATTAAAAACGCAAACCCCTTACTGAATGACACCTGCACCTTCAGCAAACCTCCAAATTTCTGCATCACGAGGACTTTATGATTGTTTATGAGCATCAAAAGTGGCTGATCTGTTAAGCAAAACATTTGACTGTGTGTCACTGCATATCAAACAACATAACTGAAGAAATCTCCACAGTGCTGAGCGAGAGAGTTTACTGAACAGCGCATTATCGATGACATAAGCGTGCCCAGGCCCGAATGTAATGTGAGTGCGGGCCATCGGGAGAGACGAGAGGGGGAACAAGCATGCTGTGGCCCAGTGCAAGGCAACTGTACATAGTGTGAGTATGCCCTTAATGCACTCCTGCATTGGGCTCACACATATACTTCATGCCTACTTCAAAATGTTGATAAGCCATGGTGGGCGATTCTCTCCGTTCGCGCTGACTGCAGTCAACCAATCGTAACAAACTGAGTCATTGGACGTATCAGCACATATTAGCGCTAAGGAGGGGTTTGGGAACAAATGAATCACAAAAAGAATCATATGAGAGTGGCTGGGATAATTAGGTAAAAATAAATGCAAATTATAAGACAATGAAAGTGTTTTTTGACCTTGCATGCATATCAGTCTGTTGTTGGAGACCCCAAAATCAAAATATGACCGTTTTAAATGCTTAATAGGGGCTATTTAAAGTATTTAAAAAAAAAAACTAAAGTATTTTAGGGGGAAATGGATGCAGTAATAATCTATAAGTATTCAAGATTAATATGAGACTGGGCAAAGTGAGCATCAATCTCGTTTAACAAGAAGAAGCTCCTCATTAACTTACCGTCCCACCCAGTCCACTGCCAGGCCTTCTGCTCCACCCAGGTCATTTTGCATTATGACCTCCCTTCCTGTGCCATCTAAATTAATTCTCTCAATACGGAGTGTGCCAACATCCACCCAGTATAAACGCTTCTCAGTTGTGTCAAAATCCAGTGCAACAACATTTGTCAGGCCTTGCAGCACCACTGACATTGATGATCCAACAGCAGTCAGATTGCGGATATAGTAACGGTTGCTGTAGAGAAGGTAAGGGGCGATCCCACTGTTTTGTCGGCAAGTACGTCCATCTGGCTCCCGCAGGTATCCCGGAGCACACTTGCAGTAGAAGGAGCCCACAGCATTTTCACACACTTGACTGCACACTCCCGGTACCTCCTTGCACTCGTCTATATCCTCACAGGCTTTGCCGTCTGGCATTAGTCTGTAGCCTTCTCTGCAGGAGCAGTAGTAACCAGTCTGAGTGTCTATGCAGTTATGTGCACACTGGTGAATGGCTGGGTTAGTGCACTCATTTATACCTGTGGAGGGGACAGAATTGCCATTCATTATTCCCAGCGGTGCAAGATCTCTATTGGGAATTCTTTAATTCCTTTTTCACAAAATGTATTTGCTATTTTGGGTACATAAACACTTACCACAACCTTTCTCATCACTATTGTCAGAACAGTCTCTTTGCTGGTTGCAAACCTTGTGGATGTCAATGCACTCCCCAGAATTGCACATGAAATCTCCAGGTGCACAGGTGGGTTCAGGAGTCCTGCACAAGCCCTCTAGTTCGTCAGAGCCATCTTGACAGTCTATATAACCATCACATACATACGTTGATGGGATACAAACTCCATTCTGGCAGGTGAATTCCCGACTGGAACAGGTGTTGTAAATACAGTTGGTCTCATCACTGCCATCCCCACAGTCATTCACACGGTCACAGCTGAGGAGCAGTATTTCATGAAGGTTATAGATTTTATACAGATTTTGTGAAGAAATTGATTTAGTCTCATTGGAAATACATGACTTCCCTCATACAGCATATCTAAGAATACATTTCACTGCACTTATCAGGTGAAATAAACACACAAGGCTCAAAAACACTAACAGCCAATGATCACAGGGCCCGATTTTCGATAAATAAAGGCTGTTTGCCCTCAAAAAAACTTTTACCATTGTGCATATATTGTAAACAAATACAGTCTTATGCAAAAATTCAGACACCCCTCTGAAATTGCATAATAATGTGCTCTTTCTTTATAAGAGAAAATCACAGTGAAATGCCATTTGGTTTTTAGTGAAAGCTAGATAATGTCTTTTTTTTCAGACAGAAATACGTAGTGTAGCAGTATTGAGATGTGTGAAATTAAATTGAATCTATGCAAAAAAATGGCTATGCAAAAATTTGGACAGCTTCTCTTTTGTGTGGATTTCAAAACTTGTAGTCACTTAATGCTGATTAATTACTGCACACAATTGATTTGAGTGACTCAGTGAACCTTAACAATCCCAACAAAGGTGCAACCAATCATGATAAAGGATATTTAAGATAGCTGATTGCTAGTTGTGCTTCTCCTTATTGTGAACCAGAAAGTAGCAACATGGGAACATCATAGAACTTCCCTATGACCTAAAAACTAGGATAATTCACCAACATGAATTAGTAGAAGGATGCAAAAAGCTATCACAAAGGTTTAATCTCTCTATGTCCACAGTCAGAAATATAGTAAGAAAATGGAAGGCCACAGGAACAGATCTTGTAAAGGAAAGATGTGCAAGACCAAGAAAAATATCTGAAAGGCAAAGGAGAGAGAATGGTTTGAATGGTCACAGACAAACCACAGACCACCTCCAAAGAGCTCCAGGAACATCTTGCTGCTAATAGTGTCATTGTAGATCGTTCCACAGTCCAGCGTGTTCTTTACAAATACCGGACAATGAAAGAAGATGCATAAGAAGCCTTTTTTGAGTTGTTTGATATATGCAAAGGCTCATCTAGACAAGCCTAAATTACTTTGGAAAAATATACTGTGGACAGATGCCACAACCATAGGTGCTTTGCATGACGGAAAAAGAACACAGCATTCCAGGAGAAGAACCTGCTCCTTACTGTAAAATATGTTGGGGGCTCCATCATTCTGTGGGGATGTGTGGTAAACACAGTAACTAGAAACCTTATCAGAGTTAAAGGTTGCATGGATTCCACCCAGATGTACCGAGAAATTCATGCTCAGACATGATACAATATTCTAGGATGGCCATCCAAGTCCCCAGACTTGAACATTATCGAAAATCTATGGATCGTTTTGAAAAGGGCCGTTCATGCTTGGCACCCATCAAACCTGACCGAACTGGAAAAATTGTGCAAGAAGGAATGGTCCAAAGTGCCTTCAACAAGAATTCAGGGACTTATCCCTGACAGTAAGAAGCGTCTACAGGCTGTTGTTTCAGTAAAAGGTGGCTGTACAATAGATTGATGTCATTTTTCTGTTGGGGTGCCCACATTTATGCACCTGTCTGTTTTGGTTAAGACGTGAATTGCACTGCATCTGTTAATTAAATGAATGTTGTGTCAGAACTGAAATGTTGCTTTTTGCACTAGGGTATAAAATATATCAATTGAAATTGCTAATCTGAAAGGCCAGCAGGCTATAGTTTGCAATAATGAAAATTTTCAGAGGTGCCCAAACTTTTGCATAAGATTGCGTATTTTAAAGTTTACATCATATGTACATCATCAAGTACATGGTGTTTCAGATGTAGTCAGATATGCTTAGTAGTTTCATTCATTCACTCATTTTCTTTTTTAGCTTAGTCCCTTTATTAATCAGGGATCGCCACAGCAAAATAAACCGCCAACTTATCCAGCATATGTTTTACGCAGCGGATACCTTTTCAGCCACAACCCAACAGTGGGATAAGCTTAGTAGTTTAACGATTATAATAATCCACTCACAATGTGAAGCGTCTGGGTACATATCCACTAAACTTAAAATGTAAAATGTATTGCCACAGTCACAATTAACATGTTTCTGAAATTGTTAAATACATAATTTAGCACTATCCACTTGACATTTTACTGTGAAACTGCTGTGAAATGAATTTAAAGGCAAACAGTACATTTTTGCAACCATTTTAAACATTACCTAAACATTCCATGAGTTTAAATGTAGACAGAGTCATGCATTTTTAATAAATATGGGTTACAATGAACTCACTGGAAGGGCAGCAGAATGCAGCGACCATTGGCACAAGCAAACTCATTTAAGTGGCATGTGCGGTTGGGGCAGTTGTGCAGCTCATCTGCAGCATCTACACAGTCCTTCTCACCATCACAAACATAACTTAACGGAATACAGCGAGGAGAGCCAGGGTACCAACTGGGGCATGTGAAATCACCAGGGTTGCAAGTCCTTGATCCTGAAGTACAAAACAAAAGTAAGACTAGCAAGTAACATGTAGATTGATTTGTTGGTTTCTATCATAATATAAAATACACAACAGTCCTTACCACACTGCAGCTCCTGGGCCTCATCACTGTTGTCTCCACAGTCATTGTTGCCATCACATACCCATGATTGCTGAATACAGTTTCCATTCGCGCAGTTGAACTGCTGAGGGCTACAAGTATAAATGTGATCCTCTGTGAAATAAAAAAAAGGAGGAGTATTAAACAGTGAGTCCAGTCATCACTTTCCAGATTTAAGTAAGTGGAACATGTACCGCAAGTGGGAGGCTCATCTGTGCCATCCAAACAATCTGAGATGCGATCACACACCCAAAACTGGGGAATACACTTCCCACTATCACAGCGGAACTCATCTGCAGAGCACGTTCGTCCAGCTGTTGACCACAGACAGCACAGGACATGTTAAAGAGAATATTGAATCAGAGTTGAACCTTCTGTCATCATGAAGTCTGCAAACAATAGAGAATTTGTAACTCACCACAAAAGAGTGGATTTTCATCACTGTTATCCCCACAGTTGTTATGGCCATCACACAGGCTGCTCGAAGGAATGCAGATGTTGGTGGTGTCACATTTCACTAAGCCAGGTGCACAGGTTCGATCCGCTAATAAATTAGATGAAATATGTTAAATACACAGGAGAGAGCGGGAACAAAAGTAACATTTTTCATAAAAACCTAATTATAAAAGATTTTTTTTTTTTTTTTTTTTTTTTTAGCCTGGACATTAAACGTTGCCAGGGCTTCAAGAAAAGCCACTTTGTTACTTTTGTCCTATGGTAAAGCACACTACTGTATATATACTACTCAAATAACATACATTTTAAATGAAAAAAAAAAAGCTTTTTCCTTATTTGACCTCAAATTACATCGGTATGATTTAACAAAAATACAATAATACAAAATATACACAAATGACAAGCCAAATAGCATTATTAAGTGACAATACAGTAAGTGACAAAACTTGTAAAATATAAAGATTAATGCTAGTCCAAAATATTAATTAACACAAAAAGAACCATATACTTGATGACGAGATATTTAATTTATTCTTATTCTAAGATATTTGTCAGATTTTTATCATAATATGCTCTTGATCTCTCAAGCTTCTACATTGCTACACCTACATTGTTACTAGCTCTAAAATAGTTTTTTGTTATTAGCAGAGGCTGAAATCGGGTTCTGGGTGGGCCTACTAATATGCAGAGCACTGCAGTTAATAGAGTAAGAAAGAGAGAGATTGACTGCTTGTGCTATATTATTTCTGCATTTTGTGTTTATCTTAGACTTTTAAGTTGTCATAGGTTGCCATAGCCACTTTTTGTATTAGGGTTATGTATAAAAACCCTTGTGTTTCAGAGTATTTGTGTTTTACTTGTTGAATTTAATATTAACTGGTTTATTTTCCTTTTCATTTTTATATTAATATATGTCCAATAAATACTCCACTGTATTTTTTACAATCACAAAACTCTATCAATATTACATTTGGATACAATATTAATTCCCTAAATATTAAGAACAAAGGTAACTTGTACTTAAAAGGGAATCCTATAAATGTCATAACATATAATGTTATTAGATATGTATAGTTAAGCAAACCATCTAATTACCCTAATCTGCCTAGTTAACCTAATTAACCTAGTTAAGCCTTTAAATGTCACTTTAAGCTGTATAGAAGTGTCTTGAAAAATATCAAGTAAAATATTATTTACTGTCATCATGGCAAAGAGAAAATAAATCAGTTTTTAGATATAAGTTTTTAAAACTATTATGCTTAGAAATGTGCTGAAACAATCTTCCCTCCATTAAACAGAAATTGGGAAAAAAACAAACAAACAGGGGCGCTAATAATTCAGGGGGGCTAATAATTCTCACTTCAACTGTGTATATATATATATATATATATATATATATATATAGCTTGTGTATTGCTACTTAGTCTTATTAAATGTATCTTATATCTAACATAAAATGAATGTCTCAGAGTGCATTGATTATCATGCAGTAATAATTATGCATCACATCAGATTCTTCTTATTTTTCACTATCACATTTATTAGATTCATCATTTAAAATGTAGGTCTTTTAAGTGAATGGAGGAGTTTAGTTGGTTTGTTGCTTGAAAACATTTCATTATCAAAACTGTAGTACAGCTGTTTTGGCATGCTCTGAGTGAGAGAAAATGAACATTCATACCGACATTTAAACTTTCAAACAGTACTCTACCATCACCAGCCAAAATCAGGTTGCTCCACTGCTCGCATTACTTATGTGCTATAAACGCGCCTCAGTTTTTAGACTTAACTTTCCAAACTCAGTTGCCTGAATGGTTACTAGATCATTCTTGGTTGGATGAGATTGCTATGTATGGCAGACTCTCCAATGATGTAAGAACAAGTAACTGACATCGCAACACAGTCTAGCTTCACATCCTTAACGCCTGAATCCCAGCATCACAGCGTCCACTCCTGAGCCCTCTGTCTGCCCTGACACATCCAAAGAATCCATCTCTGAGCCTCCCTGCCTGTATTGATACAGTCACATAATCCCTTAACCCTGTGTGTCTGATATGGATGCAGAGATCAACTCTGTTCCAGCAGATTCACCTTGGTAGTGTCTTTGAGAATTTTTATTTATTTGTCATCACAGGTTTATTTATTCACTTTTCAGCTTAGTCCCTTTATTAATCATGAGTCGCCACAGCGGAATGAACCACCAACTTATTCAGCATACTGTATGTTTTACGCAGCGGATGCCCTTACAGCTGCAACCCATCCCTGGGAAACAACCATACACTCTCATTCACACACATACACTACAGACAATTTAGCCTACCCAATTTACCTGTAACGCATGTCTTAGGACTTGTGGGCGAAACTAGAGTACCCGGAGTGGTACAAACTCCACACAGAAACGCCAACTGACCCAGCCGAGGCTTGAACCAGCGACCTTCTTGCTGTGAGGCGACAGCACTGCCTACTACGTCACTGTGTCGCCCATCACAGGTGGTATAAATTAATTTCTCTAAGTAATGCGGAAAAGATATGTCTTGAACTTCTTTTTGTGTGTGCCTCTCTAAAGAAAATTACACACCTTAGAATGTTCCTTTTCCAGTCAGAATCAAGCGTTTAGGTTTAATACCAAAATAATATATAATTAATAAAAAAAAGATTGAACTGTACTCACGGCAGTTAACTTCATCTGTGGTGCCATTGTCTCGGCAGTCATTGATCCCATCACACACGTAAGCTGCACTGATGCAGCGTCCGTTAGCACAGGTGAATTCTGTGGAAGGGTTACAAGTAGGGAAGGGACAACCATGCTCGTCGCTGTTATCTCCACAGTCATTAGTGTAGTCGCACACATAGTACAGAGGCACACAGCCTCCATTATCGCAGGTGAATTCAGTTGGTGAACAGGTGTGAAAAGCTATAGAGGAAACATTAATGGTTATATTTTTAATCAATAAAGACAAAACATATGCAAACTAAATGAAACAACTGTTAAATTGCTAAAGTCACTTACCACAAACTCGTTCAAGCTCATCAGACCCATCAAGGCAGTCCCTGTAGCCATCACACTTGAAATTCTGAGACAAACATCTTCCATCCAGACAGGTGAACTGATCTGCATGACAACGTTGCCCATTGTCAGGGATGCAGTCTTTCCCTTCGTTGGCCAGATACCAGTTACCAGTGCTGGGACACTGACACTCTGGACCAGCTGGACCTGAGATTAAGTCATAAATGAAACCATGAGAAGCTTATCAAAAGGCAAATGATGTCCAAAAGTTTGGGAGTTAGTAAAATGGCAAAATAAAATGTATATATTTACACTCTTACACTGTTAATATGTTGTATTATAATTTTACTGATCAACATACAATAACTTTCCTTAGTTTGGATCCCCTTTAACACTGAATACGGACTATTATCTAATCTCAGAAGCCACAGTACACACCACAGACACAGCTCCTACAACAAACAGGTGCAAGGATCCACTCATTTCCTGTTGACGCTGACACTTACAGCCACAGTAATCTCGTAGCTCAGCCTGGATAGAGTCTGACCAGGTGTGATACAACATAAGTTCATGCAGGGTTATTAATTATGAACTGTACTCCTAGGTTTGATGTGACTGTTTCATTTTCCTGCACCAAATCTGTCTTTATTAACACTTTCTCTACCTGTAACATGTCAGCCAAGGACATTTCAAAATTCTCTTTGTCCATTACCGAATTCCCTGCATGTCACGTATTGTACAAGGATACAGTCTTTTAAACGATCTAACCATCCGCGTATCTCAACAATGTCTCTGTTGGCTTCATTCAGTCCTTTAACTTCTACAAGTATGTAGGCTTTCCTTAGCAGACTGAAATCATCCTGGGCTTTCTGTTGGTCAACTCCAGCCTTGATTGTACACCCTTGAACTGCATCTCTAACCTCCATGTCCATCCCTCCACCTAAGCTTCTCAGTCTGTCAGCTCCGCTTTGGCTCCTTACTCTCTCGACTTCACCCATTGCATAAACTTCCAGGCCTTCAGCTGTCTTTCATCCCTGCAACCCTTCCACTTCCCTCCAGCTGTCTCAATCTTTAGCTACACACATTGCACCCCAGTGGCTCCACCATAGACATCCATTACCTTGATTCTAGATCTTTAGTTTGACCACCGTCTCTTAGGCTCAGACTAGATTTCTAACCTAAATTTTTCAGCAAAAGTCAGTTGCCCTATCACCTCCATTGTCCTGACTCTGCCTAATATTTTTGAAGCCTAATATTTAACCACCATAACTCAAATTTTTCATGGGCCTGTATTATTGTTTTCCTACTCCTGGCTCCGTTACGGTCACTTCAACTTGTTTTTAATTATCATATAATTCCTAAATTTTCCCTCATCCTTAGGGTGCCAGCTCTGCATCCTCCTTTCTAAGACCCCATCTGACATCCCTCCTCAGTCAGACCTTTGTTGGTAATTTTGGGTCTAGTTTGTCTTGAGTTTGTCTTGACTAATGTTTCAGCTGGATTTGCAACATTTTCCTGTTCTACTTCCCTCTTTGCATTTGACCCCACTGGGCCTGCACAAGTCCCGCAAACTTAACAAAACAAACATCATCTTGGGTTTTAGTGGAAGAATATCCTAATGCCTGTACAAGGAGTCTCAGATTTACATGTTTGATTAGGGGCTGGCTTTTTTTAGGTTATAAAAGTTCTTTGTTTTAACATTAAAAACTCACTTTTTTTGTATTTAAAAACCATGCTTTTTTAAAGATTATGTTCTGAAAGTGTGTGCCAAGCACTCTTGGCGCAGGAAATTAGACTGACCTGGGACACAAACATGGCTGCAGCCTCCATTGAACAGCTGGCAGGGACTTGAGCAGCTTTCTTGCCTACTGGCAGAGAAGACGTGAATGTCATTGGGTCTATATTGGAGATCAGTGGCCATTATAGTTAGGCCAGAACCATCATCCTTGCTGGCACGGTACACAATCCTTGTGTTCCAGTCAGTCCAATAAATATCCTGCTGAAATACTGTCAGAGCAAATGGGTACTGTGTCTGGGTAAGAATGACCTCCCTGTTTTCTCCAGTCAAAGAAGAACGTTCAATCTTATCCCTGTGAGTGACAGAGTGAAACATGAATTCTTTCAGTATGAATGTTTGTTATAAGTCTTTTGTCTGACTGCACTAAAAATGATGTTAAAAAATAATATTAGGTTAGTATAAACTCACAGTGTTGAATCAGCCCAGTACAGAAGTCGCTCTTCATAATCCAAAGACAGAGCATTAGGCTGAGAAAGACTTGTGTTTATGACAGGGATTCGGAAGTTTCCACCAAGTGTGGCCCGTTCAATTTTAGCAGGGGATCCCCAGTCAGTCCAGTACAGGTATCTAAATGAGCGAAATAAGTTTTTGAAATGTGTATGTATGTAATGTGTGTACATTTTTTATGATTATTGCCCTTGATGCCTTGCCATTTGTATTATATAAAAGTCTGGTAAATGTAAATATGTGTACATATTTTCTAAAATTGCATGGACTTTTGTGCTTGTATTCAACTAAGTAGAATCAGCTACAGAATAACCTACTTCTGGTGAGATTCTGTATATACTGTGTACATGGACTTCATGTGAGGTTGTGACAGCGGATTTGGAAATGACAGAAATTCATTCCTTTGGTCACATTACAGTGATAACATGGAAGATATTGTATATCTGGTAGTATATTCAACTTTCATTCAAACTGCACATGCATTGGAAGTAAGTTTTGAACCAAATTTAGTACCTACTGTATGATATAAAGTATGTGATTTCAGACTTTTCAGATTTTTGCTTTCTGCATTCAAGAGCACAATTTCAACAGTTATGGTCCAAATACCTATTAAGATGTAATAAGCACTAGAACTGTCATGTTAAACAGATACAGATTCTAACACCTAGGCTTCTACTGTCCAATTTGAACACTGCTCCAAAAGTTTATTATTATTACTAATGCTGAAAGTAAAGCTGTTTTCTGTATTAATCAATTTATTTATTTATACGTCGGTGTGCAACAAGGTTCATACTGTAGATTAGGCCTCTCTCTTTGGTGCCATTGTAAAAGTCCTAATTATATCTTACCCATAACATGGATCCACTACAATAGCTCTGGGACGGTCACCATGTGCAATTAAAGAACGGTTTTGGCCATCTATTCCCATAGACTGCACACTACGATTGTAATAATCTGTGAAATAAAGACGCTTGTGGACCCAATCATAGGCCAGACCTTCAGGATCATCAAGATCTAAAAGATGGACAGAAAACAGAATTCGTAGACATACTGTAATTGGCTGATTAATGCAAATTTAGTTTGAGAACATAAAGGGATCAGACTGTACCACTGGCAATGGTGACTGGTGGGCTAGTGCTGCTGGTGGTTATGATGTATCCTATTTTACTCCTGCCCAGCCCCACGTACTGAGTGAAGAACACTCTTTTATCCTGGAAGTCAAACTCTATGGCTAAAACACCATAACCCATGTTAAAGGTGGGAAATGGGACACTGTGGTCCTCCGGGTCCAGTCTCATGCTGCTCACACTATAATCTGTTGTGAAGATCAGGTACTCATCCAGGCCAAAGCCACATGAGACTCCATTGCTCAGCAGAGAGCCATGGGCACAGGCACATTTGGGCTCCTGCTGGTCGGGCAATGCAAAACAAAACTGTTGACAACGCCCATTGTCATCATGGCAAGGGTTGAAACCCACCAGGTTGGCAGAAGTGGGCTGAACATGTGAGTCAAACACTGCAACATCTGTCAGATCATCAATGCCATCTCTTATCACCTCAGGTGTATCTGTATTCCCAGGTACCTTACTGGCCTGGAAGAGTTTGCCCAGTTTGCGATCCACCCACAGCATGTACTCGCCAAAGATTGCCACACTATATGGTGCAGGGTACCGACTACCGAAGCGTACAATCTCCCGTTGAGAACCATCAGGAGCCATTCGAGAAATCATATCCAGTGTGTCATCAACCCAGTACAGAAAGTCATTGGTGTAATCAATTGTAAGGCCTCGGGGGGATGAAAGGCTCTCAGAAGCAAGAACTGTGCGATTGGTACCATCCAAAAGAGCACTTTCAATCTTAGGGGACTGACCAGCATCAGTCCAGAAGAGAAGACGTAACTTGGGGCTCACAGCAAGATCTTGGGGACGATCTGCTGAACTTTTCAGGAGGATCAGTTGAATGCTTGTGTTCAAACGTAGCACCTCAATGTATGTCTGAGTGGTGAATTTGTTAGTGAAGTACAAGTTTCCTGACATAAAAAACAAATAGTTCAATACATATAAACACAGAAAGCCACATTCTTCAAGGTGTACATCAATTTCACTATTTACTGCAATTTGTTGCAACTTACCTGCAATCCAGTCTACCGCTAAGCCCTGAATTCTTCCATTGCCCAATTGACTGATGACTGTAGAATAGCGTGAGCCATCCGTCTTTGTTCTGTAAATGCCTCGGTATGATGAGTAGGTGCTGTTATCAGTCCAGTACAGGAATCCAGAAGCAATGTGCATGTCCAGCTTGTCAATAATCGAGTATGTATCTACATAATGAAAGTACATGATATTTTGTTGTTGACAATACAGTTCACAATGTTATATCACAGGACCTACTTGCAACTAATTATACTATTTGGTTAATTATCACAATAAAGTGCCTTTGATGTCCTACAAGATTGAATCAGTCCTTTATAAACAACATAATACAAAATAATGAAATTCTGATGTTTTAATAGAATTGTTAAAATCTTTACACATATGCAGGTAGAATTATAAGTATTTTGAAATGTGTTTTTTGCCAATTATTGCAATATTCTTTCATTGAATGGATGTGATTAAAAATTAAAAATAAAAGATTTTAAAGTATTTTTATTGTCTTTAACAATTTATTTGATAAAATAAGTCATTTTGATAACTTTTATTTTGTTGTCATAATATTATTAATCATTTTGCATGTTTCCTTTATGTTGCTGTTTCATATTTTTTCTCATTTTGTGTTTGAAATTGAATGTTTTCAAGCTTAACATTTCCACCCTGTCATGGTGAAATATTAATTAATATTAAAAAATTAGAAATCAAAAATATAGCTTTTAAACTGTGTACAAAGAGCTGATATACCGTAGGGAGACACGTTACCAGCTGCAAGTACAACATGTTGAATAAATGCTATCTTTAGCCAAAGATGACATGAAATGTCATGTTAAAAATGACATGTCCTCCATGTCATTGTCCACCCTGCTACAAATCCTTCCTTGGCAGGAAGGACATACAGTATGCATTGTTTTTGACACTTATACTTGTATTTGGAATTTATCCATGACAGGGTTGACAGTATTTGAGGTTTGTTTACTGTTTGTCTGCTTGCAGATTATTTATTTAAAAAAAGAGCTTGACCAACATTAATTTCTTACAGCATAAGCTCTAATTAATACAACAACTATGTGGTTGTATTTTTTTTTATCTGACATCTCAAAGGAACTTTATAGTGATAATGACCCATTTATTGTTGACACTTTTTGTTGCTAAATAGGCTTTTGTGTGTTTTATTTTTTTCATACTTTCTCATACACAAATAAATAATAAATCATAAATGTTCATTAAAGCAAAAAGATCGCCATAATCTTTGGAGTTTTAGCATAGTACTGTAGTTTTAAAAACTAAAAGGATCAACTGCTCAGCAAAAACTGCTGTAAACAATACTCACTTGCCCCTACAGGAACCATGGCCTCAGAGTGGTCAGAGCTGTTGATGTGGAATCCTCTTATAAATTTGGAAGATGATACTATGGCGTAAGAGTCGTACTGCTCACAGTGAGATCCATCTTGAGATGGGATAAATCCTGTTGTGCAGGCACATGTTTTCTGTCCTTGGGGTTTAGGCAGACACAAGTGGGGACATCCTCCGTTGTTTGTACTGCAGGCGTTGGTAGTGCCAGCAGAATCTATATTTAATGGATTGATTGTTAACTGAACGTAATCAATGTTTATCATTTTTTTATGACACCTTTGACTAGTCTTTGATTGTATGGAGTTGAACAATATATTCATTATGCTGTTTTTTCCCCAAAAAATACTTGTTTTTGATAGGTAAAATCTAGTATTTAAAAGTGAAATATCTGTCATGTCTAACCGAAATGTTGCACTACTGTCCATAACAATACTGTTACAATTCTATTCCAGTCTCTCCATTGAATATTTTTTCTTATCAACATGTTAACAAATATACAGTTTATTGAGAAGAGTTAGTACAACATTGTCCTTTAATTAAAATGAAGTGTAAAGCTTCACTCACTGTCTCTGGCATGCACTTTTACTGACCGCAGCCCTGCCATACTGCTTCTCATCACCACCATATCTGCACCCGTGTTCTTGTCCACTCTCTCAATGACCTCAAAATCAAGGTCAGTATAATAAAGATAGTTTTGGTAAACAGTGATTCCCCAGGGGTGAGACAAGCCACTAACAATGGTCACCCTGCTTGCCCCATCCATAGTTCCGCACTCAATCTGTCAATCACAAAGAAAGAAGCTCAGCCAATATATCAAGATCATAATCTATTATTTCTCCTAATAAATTAAAAAGTATGTACATGCTTCTCACCATTCCTGTTTGATGAACACCCCAGTAGATCTTCCTGGCCTCTATATCTGCAGCAATGAATTCAACTTTCACCAGGTTACCAGTGTAGAGGTTTTTGACGTTACCACCATCCATGTCTGCACTTGATATCTTTGGCGGAACTCCACTGTCTGAACCTCTGTCTGTCCAAAAAAGTTTCCTAAATTGTAGATAATGCCAGTGCATTAATAACTAATAAACACTTGCAAAGAAATGGCGTTGTAGTAAACGAAAATGTGTACCCCCTGGCTGGATCAAGAGCTATTCCTATTGGCTGTCCAGCTCCTTCTGGCTTTCCAGTGTTTGTGATGATAGTCTTTCTGTAATGTTGGGATCCATCAACCCTGATAACCTTTTAGGGAGAATAGCAGCGAAAAAAGTATGAAACCATACACAAGCAGTTCATATTTAAATGTAGTAAAACTGATACAGTATGTAGCATGTAAATTTTTCTATAGTAAAGTATAGTAATGAACAGAAGATGTTATTCACCTCAATGGCCTTAATAGTGGGATTGGTGTAGTACATGATTCGTGTTATCCAATCAAATGCGAGACCAGAGGGGGAACCAATAATGGCAGCTGGTGCAAACTGAGTTCTATTGGCCCCATCTGTCTTACTTCTATAAATTGCACCCTGTAGAGAAAAAAATTCCTTTAGTTTCATGATAAATAGTAGAATTTTTTTCCTAATTTTATTGTTTTTCCTTTTATATTAACAAAATGTTTTCTAATAATTTGTTGTTTATCTTCAGTAGTATTTTGCATCACTAATTTGACCGTAGAATACTGTCTGTTTATGAGGTTATGAATTAATCTAAAACAAGATCTTGAATGCTCTGAGACTGATTTACTCACTGTGCCTTGCACCCAGTATACAAACTGCTCTCGATCATCAAAATCAATATCTCGACCCTGGGTAATACCGGAAATTGGTGCCATGGCATTGTTGGATGTGTCATTGGGGTTGAGAGGTATTCCCATAATCACTGTATCTCTGACAACCATCAAGAATGGTGTTTCATCTAGGCAAAAAGCATCGTTGAGTCATGTAAAATGCTATGTAGAACTCGTTTGGTGCAGTCAATTTGTCAAAACTCCTTTAGTACCTTTAGTGCAAGTACGACCATCACTGGCAAGGATCCAGCCAGACTGGCAGTCACATCTGTAGTATCTGGGTCTTAAGGTTGATAGCAGACACAGCTGACTGCATGGATTGTTCTCGCAAGGATTAAATGCTATATGGAAATCAACAGACTATGTTAGTCAAGTGAAAAACTAACAAATAAAACAGCAAGACGTCTTTTAATTAAGAACTGGCATAAAAGGTTAACCTATAGGCTGTTTAATGGGGTGATCCATTACAATTCCCATGCACTGATAAACACCGGTCAGAAGAGTGGTTATGTTTCCCCCATGAAATTTATTAGTCCTCATGATTTGGCTTGTGTAACTGTCACTCCAGAAGATGTTGTCTTCGAAGATGGTAATGCCATGGGGTTGTTGAAGCACCTGCAGGTACAGATAGAACAGAGTGAAAAATTCAACACAGATGAATTTAGTCTGTGACCTTGTATCTGATAGTAAAATATAGGTAGATCCGAACTCTTACTATGTCACTCGCAAAGACTTGATGCCTGTTTTTGCCATCATAGTCACAGTAGTCAATGTATTTTAGGTAGGCATCAACAAAATATACTCTTCTAGTTGTGTAATCCAGTGTAAGTCCATTAGGCCAGTATACTTTGCTAGTCACAATTGCTCTTCTTCCGAGTCCATCCATACTAGCCTGTTCTATACGAGGGTTCTGACCCCAGTCTGACCAGAACATTAAATTAGTACTGAAAAGAAAACAGAAAGGAATTATCATTATATAATTATTATATGACTATATACAGCAAAACTACTTTTGCAGTATCTCAACGTTATTTTTTGTACAAACAATAGCAACAAATAAATATGTATATCCAAAGTGCATACTGGTTGCGGGGGTCTAGAACCAGTCCACGAGGGCTTGTGACATTCTTTGTAATCAGAATCTTCCGAAAGTGGCCATCCAGAGTTGCTACTTCAATGTTTTGCATGACAGAGTCGGTCCAGTAAATGTTTCTACCCACCCAATCCACGGCTATGCTTTCAGGTACCATCAGGCCCGAAGAAAACACCTAACATACCAGCATCATCACAATAATTAATCCTAAATTGTAGTTGATTATGATATATATATGTACACGAAAAGAAATACACCAAGACAACTAGACCAATCACCTACCTGCTTTTTATCTGTGCCATTCTGGAATGAACTATAGATCATTTTGTCAGATGAATCACCCCAGTAAACTCTTTTATTTACATTATCAAAGTCTACAGCAACAATGCTCATGCCGCTGACTATGGGACTGATGATCGGTGGCCAGAAGTTGATGCGGTTGCCGATGATCTGACTGCGTCTGGCCACCAGAAGTAAGGCATTTCCTGGGCCTAGAACACAGGCAAGACATAGACAAGACATTAGCCATCCTCCAGCTTAAAATGTATGTCCGAGCTGTTTTAACTAAAAAAAAAAGTGTACTGACTGATCATTAAATATATTTAGTGTGTTTGTTTTGATTTGTCTCAACATGGACAGCAGTTTGCATTTGTATTAATGAATGTATTTTTTACTAATATATATATTATTCATTGCAATTGTACCCCAACAGTCCAAAGACATGAACTATAGGTGAACTGTATGAACTAAATAGCCAGTGTATGCATGTGAGCGTGAATGGGTATTTCCCAGTACTTGTTGCAGCTGGAAGGGCATCTGCTGAGTAAATCATATGCTGGATAAGTTAGCGGTTCATTTCACTCTGGCGACCTTTGATGAATAAAGGGACTAGGCCGTAGGAAAATAAATAGATTCAACCCAGGCTCATTCTGATTACGTACCCCTATATACATTTCTGGAGAAAGCAAAATATGTCATTTTTAAAATATGTTTTTTTTTTTTTTTTTGCAGTTTTTGTTTTTGTAAATCCACTAGAGGCCGCTGTTGACAGACTGACTTACTGACCGACCAACTAACCAATACCAATTTAACTAAACGTTAAAAAAAAGTTAATAAATGCTGTACACTGTTGCCAGCCACTCACTGTAATGGTTCAGTTACACCGCAAAAAATGCTTTTCTTACTTAGATTATTTGTCTTGTTTCTAGTCCAAACATCTAAAATAAAATAATCTTACGTCAAAAGAAAAAACAAGATTAATTTGCTTACCCCATTGGCAGATAATTTTGCTTGTATTAAGGAAAAACTGACTTAATATTGGCATATTATTTCTCAAAACAAGGCAATATGTTTTGCTTGTCTAAAAAATGCTTCTTGATTTAAGAAGTTTTAGATATTTTGACTAGAAACAAGACAAAAAATCTAAGCAAGAAAAACATTTTTTGCAGTGTACAGTAATTAACTGGCAACACTGCTGCCAGTTACTTACTGTAACCGAACTTTTACAGTGAGTAGCTGGCAACAGTGTTGCCAGTATTCTACTGTAAAAAAAAAACCCGGTAAGGTCTAACAGTGTGGGCCTCAAAATGAAAAGGATTTGGATCATATTTTTAATGTCAGAAAATTTTAAAAGAGAAGCTTTTTGTCTTTATATCACTCCAATATGACTGTGGACACACTATACCTGCAAACAATCCTGTCCAAACAGCTTACAAAAGATGATTTTCATCATGGGTGCCCTTTAAATGTCCTAGCTGATCAATGGCCTAACTTTTCTTGATTACGTTGGAATGTCAGTATACTTCCTAGCCATACTGGCCTAGAAAATAGAAACTGTTGGTCTTATTACACAATAAAACTACAGAAGGGTCAAGTTTTAAATAGTAGGATTATCAAAACTTTTTAGTGGAGCAAGATGTTAAGGGTTTAATCCAATTCAATGATTTATCCTAAGCTAAAACGGCTCCCGCCAGACCTAAAGATTGGCTTAATAGATTTAAAAAAAAAATGGTAAAACTCAACTGTTTAACTCTAGGGAAGTTGTAAAATGAGCTTAAATTAAAGAAAGGTAGAGTGTTTGTTTAAAGCACTATGGATTTGTTAGTTGGAGCAGTGTGCACTGGCCTTAAAACCATTGAGTTCTTGACCATTCAATTAAAAAAGCAGCTAGTTTTACTTCAACAGGTTTGACTGTATTCATTGTTTGATGTGTAATTGAACAATCATTCACAAAAATGTTGCTTACTGGTGGCTCTGCATGTACGTCCATCAGGTTCCAGCTGGTAGCCATCTTCGCAATAGCAGCGGAAGGAGCCACGCTCATTGAAGCAGGTTTGACTGCAGAATCCAGGTATGAGACACTCATTTATGTCATCGCAGGTCTTTGAGTCATTCAGCAACTGGAATCCTGGGTCACAGGTACACTGAGCTCCAAATGGACCCTGAATACAGCCATGACTGCAGCCACCATTATTCACCTTACAGTCATCTTCATCTATAAAGATATAAAATGTAGAAATATTAGATTGTTAACATGGATAATAATGGGTGAATTTAGTTTATCCAAACAACAGCAGAAATACTCACTGCAGATGGGAGACTCATCAGCTCCATTTGGACAATCTCTTTGACCATCACACACCTGGGCATTCATGATGCACACCTGGTCTGTAGGACACAACCACTGACCTGATGGGCAGCTGAATGGTGGAGTGGGGCAGTTCGTTTCGTCGCTCATATCCCTGCAGTCATTTTCCCCATCACACACCCAATTCTTGGACACACAATTCCCATTAGCACACTGGAACTGCACAGAACTACAAGTACGCGGAGGGCAGCCATTATGCTCATCAGAGCCATCCACACAGTCCGGATGGCCATCACATTCCCACTCTTTCGGAATGCAAAATCCATCAACCTGGCACTGGAACTCATTGTCATGGCACAGACCTGGCCTACGTGTGGCTGCACAGAAAATACCAGTTAGGAATTATCACCAGCCTTATTTAATTAAAAAAATAATTAAATTAAATAAAAAACTTAATTTTTGTACAATTTAATTTTGGTTATTTTTATTATTACTGAATGACAAAAAATAATATTGAAGGCATTAAATTTCATTTTGACTGAAAGTTTAAGCTTGTGATTTTTTGTGGAAAATATACAGATAAATTTCTTATTTAAAAAAATAAGCAATTAATTAAATATTAAATAAAGGCTGATTCACTTCCAAATAGAAGACATGAAAAGACATGAATATGAAACTTACGACAGCCACTCTCATCTGAGTGGTCCTTGCAGTCATAAACCCCATCACAGCGGTAGCTCTGACTCACACACTGATCTCCGCTGGCACATGCAAACTCATATGTTCCACAGGTATACACTACCCAAAACACAGAGCATCCATGTTAATTAAAATCAGAAGGAAACAGCAGAAGCAACAGATCTTTTAATCTCGTAAATTATTGACAAAGATTTATGTCATATGCATTGATTGTTGAATGGATTTTGAGATGTAAGTGTTTGTCTTTGAAATAGAGGCAGATGAACAAAAACCTGTTCACTGGAAAAGTCCTGAAAATTAATTTATCATCTAGGCTTAACTTACCGAATTGATGAAAGAAGTATTTTTTAAAAACATACAGTTTATTGCTATGACCAAACTAAATCAGAAATGTATTCTCATTTGTGTGGCATACTTTTGTCATTTAAATTCAGAAGTCTTAGCATTGCAATGAAAGGTAGGAAAAGCATATGCAATTTCTAGTATCTCTTTTTACATCCCTCCTCCTTCTAATTTGCTATATAAAAATTAATATAGCTTCACTGTATTTTTTTGAAAGCAAATACAGTACTTAATATTTAAAATCGAATATAATATGTGATTATTATATTTATTTTATATTTATTTGTGCATTAAATATTTCATATTTAGAAAATATTTAAAAAATGTGACAAACAATCCTTATACTGTAAAAGCCCAAAAGTTAGGATAACTCAAACAATTTGAGTTCAAATAGTTTAAAATCAAACCCTAATGAGTACTGCGAACTTAATCCATTTTAATTAACGAAGCAATATGAGCACAGTAAAACCCAAATGAAGAGAACTCAAACCAACTGAGTACTGTAAACCCCAATAAGTTAATAAAACTCAAACTGTTTGAGGAAAATTATTGCTACAAACCATTTGAGTTAAAAAAATGAATCTATATGAGTACAGTGAACTTACTCCGTTAAAGTTGAAATAATAAGCCATTTAATTAAACCACTGCTCTCAACACTGAGTTCAAAACTCTTTTCAAAGGCGTAGAATTAATTTTCAGACAATTTTGAGTTAAGTACACTCATTTCCAATAGTATCTGGATGCAGCCTTTATGATGCAAGCTGAGATTGCATCTCTCAGCGATGTAATGTAAGACATAATGCACTCAATGGAGTGAGTGACGTCACTGTGATGGGTATAGGGTGGGATTAGATGAGCCCATTAAAAACCATTGGATGCAGCTCAGATTGCATTGCACCAGGTCAGCATCCAGATCCCTCTCCTCATTTCATTTGATAAAGTTGACTGTTGGGTTTTACATTGTATTAACTAATTGTTTAGTGAAAAAACATTTGCAAATGTGAGATTACTTGTACTTTTATATTAATAATAATTCCAAACCAGCCTGTGGCTTGTGTTTAATGGCACTGTGCCGCAGTATGAATGGAAAATTAATAGCTGAATGATTCAATGTGCATCAGGGCAACATCTCATTATAAATTCCAGTATCACTCAGAATTAAATACAACTTTGAGGATTGTGTGCTTAATAGACCATTTGTATATGTCACATCTAAGTAATTATTTAGCAAAACAAAAATTGTAACAATAACCTTTTGAGCAACAACTGATTTATAATGTCTAATGCAAACATTTGAGGACATGCATTGGACCAAACAAGCATGTCACTTGTATAGCTTTGAATGGGGAAAAGTGTAACGGTCAATATGGCTAATGAACGTTTCACTGGGGGAGAAGCTTGGACCAGATGTTTGCTTTTATGACAGTTTGTGTGGTCAACAAACACACTGGAATCTCAGTGAATACTTGCTTCACAGGCATAAAAAATATATCCACATAAAGCCTAAAACCTTTACTCAATGAACCAACACTGGTTTTGTAATCTGTATGAAACAAATGTGAAGTACAGTCCATCCTGTCAAACCCACATCACATGACAGCAAAAACTCAAATGCCCACAAACTTGTAAACAAAGAGTCGCTGTCATTTCTGGAGATTCAACATTCAGACCGAGTTGTGAATTACTTTAGGAGAGCAGCACAATCTGACAATGCATTTTCCAGAGGATGATAATGTGTAGAACGGTCAAAATTGGGGTTGGTGTCATGATCTTGTTCCTTTTGAGTCCGCATGCTCATTAGCTTGGGTAACCATAAAAAAAAAAAATGTTCATTTTGTTTGATTTGAATGTTTAGAAAATACTTATGAGACAGTTGTTGTATAATAGTATTGGTAATTCCAATTATGTAATGTAATTATAAGTTTGGCAAACAGTTTAATGTTTTCCCATTCAGACAGAATGCCCGAGCATACTGCCCGAAAGTGTTTTCAAAGATTGCCAACGAGTGAAATGACTTGCCTTAAAAAGACTTTGATTGGACATTACAAAAATGAGCTACTGCATCTGTATTCTTTAAATTGAATGTTGTCAGGAGATCATCTTGCAATACTTGCTTTGTCTAGTAATTATGACTGTTTTATGTTGATCTGTGCTCTTTTGAGGGCAGGCTAATACTTTAAAATCTAATCACTTTCTTACCACAGTCCTTCTCATCTGAGCCATCCAAACAGTCCTGGTCTCCATCACAGACATATGAATTATAGATACAGCGGTGATCTGGACACAGGAAGAATCCAGGCTGGCAGGTGGTGATACTGGAATCTGGAGCAAGAAAGAGGATTAGGACATTATATATTAACTTAACTTAAAATGTCGCTCTGTTATCATTGTCTTCATGGGCATTCCTAGTTGGGCTTCTGAAAACTATTCTCCAAAATATCGTTATCCATAACTTATTTAATGACCCTACAGCCACCACTCCTGTAAAACTCACTTTTGCTCCATAGACACATAAGTCCAGAATAGAAAACAAAAACAAAGCATTCCGAGTAACTTCAGTGGTTAAACTGTATAAAGTTTCAAGAACACTTTTGTGCACCAGATAACTGTAAAAACTTTGATTTTCAATGTCTTCTGCATCAGATCAGGGTGTGCCATGTGCAATACAATGCTTGCTTGTTGCACCGCTGACTCTTATGGCAATACATCATTACTGCCCTTAGTAAACATGCATCCTGATGATGTGATGTAAGAGTGAAGATGCAGGCAAACAGAGTGGTATTTACAGTTTTTTTTTTTTGTTTTTTTTTTTTTTACAGAAGCTTTATATGATTACATGAACCAGACGACATGAAGTCACATGGAATGTTTTGGCAATATATTTTTGGTCCTTTGTTTGCACTTTGACACCATTGATGCCTATGGAGGGTGAGAGATAGGGCTGGAACAATAAATTGATCAATTGCCAAATGAATCGAGAAATGAGACATTTTCTGAACATTGCGACTCTCTCTTGAGTCAATTTTGATCTTAGCTTTTACCACCAGAATGTACCAGAACATACCACCTGAATTTAAAATATATATATAAATTGTGTTTAAATCTTGTTTAAAACAAATTACAAGTGTTCATAGTGAGCTGTTTACATGAATTCCATGGAATAAAGGTTGTGGTGCAAGTACATTTGACCACATACAGTACATGTCTGAAACAAGCACGTAAGCATTCTAACACTGGATTCACATGGGGCTTCATCGTCAACACTTGACAGAAGGCGTGTCTGCAGTTGGGGCTGACGAGATGATCATAGCGGTGTCAGCCAATGACATTAGTCTGCAATCGACTACTGTCTTAGCTGGTGTATTTGCATAAAGTGATCTGATTGCCTGACTTGTTATTTAAGGGACTGTTTCATATTTAAGGGACTGTTTCTTATGGGTTTATTAATCATTCTTTTTTATAAATGAATTCAAACTTAGTTTATTCAAGGTGCAAACCCCTTGCTGCACCTTCAGCAAAACTTCTACTACGTGCAACATGATGACTTTCATGAACATTTATGAGTGTCAAAAGTTGTGGATCTGTTCAGCAAAAGATTTGACTGTGTGTCACTGCATATCAAACGACTAAAAATAATACTAAACGATATAGCTAAAAGAATCTACACTGTATGGTATAGTTTCTTCTGTTAAACTAAACAGTTACATTATGGCGTATTAGGCATGTTTCACGACAACCATGCCTCGTGTGAGAGCACCCTTATTCATGCTAACTAAAAGTGTAGAATTAAAAACTAGCCTAGAGCGACATGTGCTGCAAAAACTAAAAAAGTTTAGAATTGATTCCAAAATGAATCGTGATGCATTCCAAAAATCTCAGAATTATTGTCCTATCCCAGTGGAAGAAGCGTCAGGTGCAAGTGATTAACATGTGAAGTCAATGCAAAGATGCAAATAGACATCCTGCAGCACGATACGTGTGAATGGTGCGGCGCGAATGACATAAATTGCGTGAATGGTGCAGTGCGAATGGCGAGGCCTGTTGTTTGTGTCTCGGGGGAAAATCCTCTTGCCTACACCAAAAACAGTTCATCAAACTGGGCTCGGCTTAGTCAGAAGCGCTGCTGAATTCTTCCATCACCCAGGTTAAGTTTCTGGAGGATTTTATAAGCTCACAGAGCTAGTGCATCTCTGAAAGGATTTAGTGGACTCAGACATGGTTCCAAATGAATCGAGGCTGTTTTTCAGCCTTTATAAAGCACATAAACACAACTTTTTTCTCAATAAAATCCATGTCAGCCATTTAGCAACGAAGCTGGAGTCACCGTGCAGACAGAAGCCCTGCCCATCACATTTTCAGATTTTCATTCGCGAATAAAGCGAGTAACTCAACATGAGTAAACTCAAAATGTTCTATTTATACACAAATAGCGTGATTTATCCGCACGTTCCGCGTCTGGTGTGAAAACAGCATCAGATTTAATCTAAAATATCTTAATTAGAATTCAATATGAATGAATTGGATGGCATGGTGACTCAGTGGATAGCACTGTTGCCTCACAGCAAGAAGGTTGCTGGTTCGAGTCTAGGATGGACCAGTTTGCATTTCTATGTGGAGTTTGCATGTTCTCCCTGTGTTTGCGTGGGTTTCCTCTGGGTGCTCCGTTTTCACCCACAGTACATAGACATGTGCTATATGGTAAATTGAATTAACTAAATTGGCAGTTATATGAGTGTATGGGTGTTTCCCAGTACTGGGTTGCAGCTGGAAGGGCATCCGCTGCTTAAAACATATGCAGGAATAGTTGGCGGTTCATTCGACTGTGGTGACCCCTGATAAATAAGGGACTAACCCAAAGGAAAATGAACGAGTGAATGAATGAAGATTTCAGGGGATTGGAAAAAACTAATTTGTATTTTTGAGTGAACTTAAACTTCTGTTTTAAAAAACTCCTCTTCAATACTCACTGCAATGTCTCTCATCAGAACCATCACCACAGTCATTAAAGGCATCGCAGACCCACGTTTTCGGGATGCAGTTTCCATTGGTGCAAGCAAACTGGCTAGATGAGCAGGTGGTTGGACCACGTGTTGGACAGTTAGTCTCGTCGGATCCATCGCCACAGTCATCATGCCCATCACAGCGCCATCTAGCAGGGATGCAGTGCTTGTTACCACAAGTGAATGCATATGGGGAGCAGGTTGCACCTGATTAAAAAAGAGGAGGAAAAAGATGTTCATAAAAATGTTACAGTCTAGGTCAAAAAATGTATAAATTAGATATGCCCATGCCCCAAAATAAGAACACTTGTTAATAATAGGGCACTTCCAGGAGGAGAAAGAGAGGGGAAGAAGGGGGTCAGGGAAAATTACCTTTGACAGAGACCATAATTTCAAATTTAATATAACATGTTTTTGGTTTTTGATTGTTTTATTTTTAAACTACAACAATTTCAACTGAGATGTTTAAATTAAATGTTGTCAATGAATCTTTTTTGTATTGTACAAAAAAAAAAAAACATTGTACATTCTGTTACACCACAGATAGAGGACAAGGCACAAGACATCAGTCAAAAATCAAGCCAAAGGGAGGTACAGCTTAGTGTTGAGTGTTTGGCATTGAACTTAATTGTTTTATATTAAGGATTGTTTATATTTTCTACTGTAATAACTTCATTTAAGTTTGTTTAATTCAAAAAGTAGCCTTTTAAGTGCACGAGATGTGACTTTTATGCATGTCATAGGTTAAATAACCCTTCACACTTCTGTAATAATTTCATCTGAAGATGCTGCAAACAGTGTATTTACAAATCTTTGGTTTAAGTTAAGTTTCCCCCTATGCAAGGTTTTGGTACATACAGTACATACCTGGAAGAGTGCAGTTGACTTCATCAGTCTTGTCAACGCAGTCGTTTACACCATCACATCGATAAGTATTGGGCACACAGCGACCTCCGTCACAAGGAAAGGCATAGTCTCCGCAGTTATCATCTGGAGGGGGCTCAGAGTCATCTTTCACACAGTCTCTCTGGTTCTCCTGCAGCTTCATGCCAAAGGGACATCCACACACACGGCTGGATGCAGGTGTAGGAAAACAAAAGTGGCTGCAGCGTCCGTTTGGAATCATATTGCATCTGCTTTTAAATACTGTAAAAAGTACAATAATTTAGTACAGTATCACTTTACAGTACAGATCACAGCAATTCATTATCACTTTGAACATTAAAAAAAAAACTAAATAAAAACTTGTAATATGAGAATTAATCTAAATCAATTTTGATATTGCTTTGGTGTGCATAAAGTCAAATATATCAGAGTGAGAAAGCTCTTGTGGCATCAATGAAGAAATAATGTTTATGTATATTAAATAAATTTCTGTTTAACGGAGAGAAGATTTTTCCCCAATTTCTGTTTAACGGAGAGAAGATTTTTCCCCAATTTCTGTTTAACGGAGAGAAGATTTTTCCCCAATTTCTGTTTAACGGAGAGAAGATTTTTTGAACACACTTCTGAACATAATAAGTTTTAATAACTTATTTCTAATAACTGATTTATTTTATCTTTGCCATGATGACAGTGGCGCAGAAGGTAGTAATGTCACCTCACAGCAAGAAGGTCGCTGGTTCGAGCCTCGGCTGAGCCAGTTGGCGTTTCTGTGGGCAGTTTGCCTGTTCTGCTCTGGTTTCCCCCACAGTCCAAAGACATGTGGTACAGGTGAATTGGATGGGCTAAATTGTCTGTAGTGTGAATGTGTGTGTGTGTGTCTGTAGTGTGAATGTGTGTGTGTGTGTGTGTGTGTGTGTGTGTGTGTGTGTGTGTGTGTGTGTGTGTGTGTGTGTGTGTGTGTGTGTGTGTGTGTGTGTGTGTGTGTGTGTGTGTGTGTGTGTTTCCTAGAGATGGGTTGTGTCTGGAAGGGCATCCGCAGTGTAAAAACATGCTAGATAAGTTTGCAGTTCATTCCGCTTTGGCAAACCCCGAATTAATAAAAAGACTAAGCCGAAAATAAAATAAATGAGTGATGACAGTAAATAATATTTTACTAGATATTTTTCAAGACATTTCCATACAGCGTAAAGTGACATTTAAAGCTTTAACCAGGTTAATTAGGTTAACTAGGCGAGTTATGATAATTAGGCAAGTCATTGTATAATAATGGTTTGTTCTGTAGATAATTTAAAAATATATATAGCTTAAAGGAGCTAATAAAAAAATAATCCAAAATACTCTCCGATTGCAACAAACCATACATTAATGAAAAAAACTTCATATGATGTATAATTTGATAAATAAATCTGGTTCCACTTTATATGAAGTGTCCTTAATAAATATGTACTTATGCTGAAATGAGTAATTCTTTACAATGTACTAATTGTGTAAACACATGTTTTACATAATGCGTATGCTTGATTAAATACCTGATATATTCCCTAACCATACCAATATTCCACCTCGATAGCACAGTACATTGTATTTATATTGTGATGCAAATACATCGTAGTTAAATCCTCTTAAAAGAGCCCTTATTTTGGATTTTTGAAAATAACCTTCCATGCACAGCACTAAGTGAATGAAAACATTCAGCTGAGGTTTAAATCTAAAAGATCACCTTGTTTAAAAATATTGATTCTTTAACAGATTATTTGACTCAGAGTCAAATAAATGAATCTAGTTGGGTTCGGATCTTTTGTTTGATCGCATCATCATCAATAAGGTACATGACCATATACAGTATGTACTTCCAGTTCCGTTAAAATGTGCATGCGCTTTCCTTCCACACACTAGCTGAGTGCGGGGATCACGGGACTGATCATGACACAAAGATGACCACACAGCTGCAGGGTGTAAAGGGTTAAAGGGTTAAAGGGTTAAAGTTCATTTTCACAACAATACCACAGTATTGTCAACCTAGTGCTGTGTTTGCTCATTTAATTTTTCTGATGATTGATACAATAACCTACACTGCAATGCAGGATTCGCCAGCTGTTTGCTGTTGAGCAGCAGAGACTATGGGATTTTGTCAGACTTTGACAGGTACTTTGTCAGTAACTTTTACAGTTTAAATGGACCAGTTTCTTCTTCCTTCGGATCAAAACATGTAAGTGTCATTAAAATTGTTGCTTCATTTTGTGTAGTTTGCTAAATGTGTTTAATTGTGTGTTATATGTTGTAATCACCCTGCGTGGCTTGTAATCATGTATCAATTATAGATCAGTGCTTGTACTGTATCTCTCAGATTAAATCTGTATGGGGCTGTTCAGATATTGCGTCCAAAACCACGGTAAAAACATGAGGCAATTCTCTGCTGTTTGCCTTTGCTAAGGCCACCATGAGCTGTTCCTACACACGTGTGGCGTGGTCAATTTTCAAAATAGTTCAACTTTTGCCACTGTGTGGATTAATACTGAATGTGTGTCATTAGTATTACTTGGCATTAGGTTTAAGAGTTGAGCAATATGCTGGTCTTTAACTGTATTTATTTATTGCATTCCTGCATTGGGCTTTTATATACTCTCTGGCTGCTACTTCATAGCCATGGTAGGCTTTTCTCTCTGTCTCGTGTCTTGCAGTTGATCAATCACAAAAGACTGGGTCATCGGACCAATCACCTCAGATTAGCTTTGCGCTAAGGAGGGGTTTGGGAACAAATCAATCGCTGAATGGTTCATGTGGGAGTTGCTGGAATAATTATAAAAAATAAATGCATAGCAAAAGACAATGGAAGTGTTTTTAGACCTTACACGCATATCAGCCTGTTGTTGGAGACCCTTAAAACCAAAATATAATCTTTTTTAATGCTAAATATGAGCTCTTTAATATAAAGTGGGACCACAAATCTCAATCTCAGTTTTTTTATTGTCCAGAGTCACAGTTGTCTTGTCATTGACACAAAATGATTGTCATAGACTTATAACATTAATCATTACATCAAAATATGTCTAAATAGTGCAGTAAATGCGATGACATTCTAGTAAATTAAATAAACAGTCACTTACAATCCTGGAGATCAGCTGAATAAGCCTTGATGTTCATTATACCCGAAATCCCCTTTCGGAGCATTATGTTGTCTCCACCGTCCCTTTTCCTCATTCGGAAAACTGAATTTGTCCGCCAGTCTGACACAAATAGATGATCTAACAAAAGGTGGAGATAGATTACTCAGTGTCAATAAACAAAATACATTTAAATTCTGTATACCAGTAGTTTAACATCATCTCAACATCAAAATCATAATGTGGCCATGTGATGAATGAACAAACAAAGAAGCACCAACCAGTGTGTATCGTAAGCGAGAAAGGGTGAGTGATTTGTCCAATGCTGGAGAAGGCCTGTCGGTCAAACCCATCAATGCTTACATGCTCAATCCGATCCAGCTGTGCATCAACCCAATACAGCCTATCCATCCTGTGGAGCACAACAAATCATTACAATCCAATTTCCATTCAATCCAATTCATCTTTTAATAAATCCAAACTGATCCCTGTGTCTAGATGAATTTGAAATGAAACTTCAAAAAAATAAACAGATCTCTTTTAGAAACCAGTTAGTTACAGTAAGGTACTGCTGATTGTTAGATATCTTCCTTACATGTAGTCTACGGCAAGTCCATTAGGCCAGCCAAGTGTTGTGTTGATTAGTGGAACTGCATTGCTTCCATCAGTGTATGCTCTGGTGATCACAGCTGGACGGTACCAGTCAGACCAGAACAGGTATCTAGGGATTGACACACAGACATTTAATAGCTGTAAATCCTCAAATCTGAAGAAAAATGAGTGGCTGCATCCAAAAGCTGAAAAATGCTACAAGGCAACAAGGCATGTCCCAATCCTTAGATCATGTCACATCTTATCTGACTTTTATTGTTTGACTGTTCATTCTAGAGGCTTTGACACAATCTACATAAAAAAATTAAAAAATGTTTCAAGCTTTACTTCATTCAATTAAATGTGTATCTTTAACTTCAGTTAAATATGATTTGTTTTATTTTTTCATTAATATATTTTAAGTTCAAAACATAGTTAGATAGAAATGTTTTTAATTTAGAGCACAACAATGAAATATTTGTTTTGACCAATGTAAAATGTTAAGGTTATTCACACAGGCCAGTAAAAAGAATCTCAAAATGGTTTGTACTTTCATGGACTTAAAATAAATATTGTTTTAGGCAAATTGTTTATTTTTTATTGGCTCAAGTGACCAAATTTTGATGTGAAACCATTATCCTAAAGTTTTTAATTGGATGAATGAATATTTTATGGAATTTTTTTGTTTTGAAATCTTCTTGTTTAGAATAAAAAGGAATTTAAAATAATTGACTTTCTTTGACAAGACAATCATGCTTTTTACCAGGTTATATAAAGTTATTCTCATGGAGACAGGAAATATTGTTTAAGCCAAATTATTTATTTTTCATTTGGTGAAGAGATACAATTTAGATGTGAACCATTACCCTATCATTTTTTATATTGGATGAATGAAAGCTTTTTGTGTGTACATTGTGTAAAAGGCTATAGAAATAAAGATGACTTGACCTTTTTCTACAACTTTTATCTGATCAATTTGTGAATACTGCTCAGATGTAGCATTTTCTGCCTGGGTTTTCTCACTTTCTATCTCACGGCAATTTGTAACTTTTTGACTTAGTGGTGAATTCCGTCACACTTTATTTTGATGGTCTGTTTGTTAATTTAAATTACATTGCATCTACATGCCAACTGATTCTCATTAGCTTATAAGTAGACTGTTAGGTTGGGGTTAGGGTTGGGGCAAGGGTTAGAGTTAGTGTAAGTTGACCTGTACTTGCTAAGCTTCTTATATAGATATTACGCAGACAGTCTACTAATACTCAAATGGACCATCAAAATAAAGTGTTACCATGAATTCATACATTTTCATACGACTGAACTTATATGAATTCATACAAATTAGCCTCTAAAGTGACAAAATGTAAAATAATTACATTTCCTCATGAGATCAGACTGACTATCCTGTGCATATAATTCAGTAACAAGGGAGATTTTCAGTAAGACAGCAAGACAAAAAGTCATCTGCCTAAGCTTTTAGATGCAGCCAACAATTATTTGGTCTATAAACAGTTGAAGTCAGAATTATCTCCCATTCATTTTTTTCCACAATTTCTGTTTAACAGAAAGAAGATTTTTTTCAACACATTTTTAAACATAATAGTTTTAATAAATAATTTACCTATTATTTGACTAGATATTTTTCAAGACACTTCTAGACAGCTTAACTAGGCAGGTTAGGGTAATTAGGCAAGTTATTTTTAACAATGATTTGTTCTGTTAAAAAATGGCAATATTATTGGCTTAAGGCTAATAATATTGACCTTAATTTTTTATTTGTATTTTTTTTTTATGAAAACTGCTTTCATTTTAGCCGAAATAAAAAAATAAGACTTTCTCAAAAAGAAAAAAAATATTATCAGACATACTGTGAAAATTTCCTCACCCTGTTAAACACCATTTGGGAAATATTTAAAAATGAAAAAAACATTCAAAAGGGGGCTAATGATTCTGACTTCAACTGTACGTAATTAAGTTAATTGGTATTTAGCATAAGATTGTTTTTAAACTGTGTTCATACCCAGCACTAGGGTGCACAGCAATACCCCGGGGGTATATCAAGTTCTTAACAATGTCCTGTCGAGATCCATCTGTTACTTTAAATGCACAGACAGATCGATATGTGCTGGAAGTCCAGAAGAGAATCTTCGAGGTCCAGTCATATGCCATCGATTCCACAGCACCCACTCTGTAACCCGTCAGGACCTTATGACCTGAGATACATCAGCAAGATTGTGTTTAGTGAAAAACTGATTTAGTGAAGAATTTATTTTTCTTAGAGTGATAAGTAAAACTCATTTGTGTTATGTTATAGGTACAACACTAAAATATAACAGAACAAAATCAATTCTTCCAACTAATCCTTCAACTTTTATTCGCATCTCAACTGCAGAAGTTTAGAAAACTACAAGAGTTAATTGAATTTTTATTTTAATGGTAATCGTTATGTAAATATTTGAAAACTTTCTAAAATGTATACATCTTTATTAATATGACCTATAGTGCATGAAAATGAAAAGTGGTCGTCTTAAAGTTTTGGGGCACTTAAAGTTTGAAAATTAAATTTATTTATTTATATTTTTGCAGAAAAACTAAAACCAGCAGCAATGTGTTTTTCAGAGACTCACTAGTGCCATTGATGTTTGATTTGTATATGAGCTGCCGCATTCGATCATTGTAAAACACGCTCTCCACAGACGCATCATACTCTACTCCAGAACCAGAAAAGGTATCAGCCAGTCCAGAAAGAGGTAAGGTGACGTCCTCCTGAGAGGAAACATTAAGAGGAATCCCTCTGACCGCTTGTGCGTACGCCACCAGTAAATAATCTTTAATTTCTGAAAAAAGACAGACATGTATGTTTTAGAGAATCTGGTGCATCTAAGAAATATTTCAGTCATTTATTCAACGATTAAATTAAGCTATCCAATCCAAGTTTCTCATTTAAAAACAGTGAGGCTCATAATTTGGTAAGAAGGATCCTCGTCTTACTAAAGCAACTGTGGCGATCATCCTGAAGGTCGTATCCTAAGCGACACATGCAGCGATAACCCAGCCCGTCATTGTCCGTGCGGTGACTCAGAAGGCAGATTTGCTGACACCCACCGTTGTGTCTGCCACACGGGTTTATCACTGCAGTCAGAAAAATGGCCAGTTATAATGATGTATACTTACAAAGCAAAATCCTCTGAGCAAAATTTACTCAGTTTAGAGACTATTTGGTCCCTCTTTAAATAAGCGAAAACTAGTTGGTAAGTAAAGCTGCTGTTTGTGGATTTGCTTAATGATCCTCTGCTGAGATTTTGAGAGATTCAACGTATTATGTTTCAGCTGATTTCATCTAAGGCTGTGACTGAAGTCAGTTGTAGTTTTGTGTTTTTCTTCTGTGTTTTTGTTTATTACCAGCAGATGTTCATCATCAGTGCTCCATCATCACCTAATTAATCCTTGTCTGTCATTCATTTAACATTCATTCAACTTTACTCAGGGGATTTTGCCGTCTTGTTATTTTATAAGAGTTTTCATTCACTTTTTGTTCACTTGTCTCACCAAAAGGCTGAAGAGCTGGATGGGAAACCACAATTTGTCCAGGCCGGTTAGTAGAGCGGTACAGGAAAGTGGGGTCACTGCCATTGAAGCGGTTAGTCCGAATCACACCCATTTTGACCCAGTCAGTGAAAAAAGCATGGTTCTCAAATACTGAAATTCCGAATGGGTGAGGAACCTGATGGCCTCCATTCAACACTGTTTTCCTAGAGGCACAATTAATAGCAAAAATGTAATCATTAAACTAACAAATGCTTTTTTTGTTTTCTTTTCGTGTTTTTTGTGTGATAATGCACTTCTAATAGGCTACTAAGGCTACAATTTTTTTAAGTACTACATTTTTATTCTTTGAAGTAGAAAAAAAATTTGTGAAAACTGTTATTAAATATTACAAATTAATATATATTTTTCCACAGACATGAATTTCTAACTTTCAATTTAAATTAAATGCTCGACTGTTTAAATATTGCCACTATTCTTGTCAACTTTCACTATCATACATGCTTTATCAACTAAAATGTACTAATTAAAGAATATATAATAAGTCTTGCCAACAGAATAAAGCCTCCTAACAAAGAATCCATAATTTTATGCTTAAATTGCATGAAAATTGCATTGGAATGCGAGACATTTTGCCAAATTCTGTGTTATATTTCCTAATAATTATTATTAAAAAATTAACACATATTATTATTAACATTTTCACATCTGTTTTTACCAGATTTGATCCTCACTTTTGATTTCATCATACATTAATTTTAGGATCAAAACCTATATGTATTGAAATGTGTTTTGTCTTATTTTAATAGTTGTTTTGTCTTATTTTAAATAATTTCATCTTGGATTTTCCTTTGCCTTCTGGTTGAGAACTACTTATTTACATACACATAAATGGAAAAATACCAAATTGCACAATTACCTGTCCAAGCCACTATATGTGACTGTCTCAACCAGGTTAAAATGACTGTCTGTCCAGTAAACCCTCTTGGTGACCAAATCCAAGGTGATTCCGGTAGGGCTACCTAATCTGGTCCTAACCAGATCAAATCGGTTACTACCATCCATGAAGGCTCGCTCCAATTTGACATCATCTGTGTTATCGCCAGAGTCTGTGAAGAACATGTATCTGTAGAGGAAAAAAAGGTTAGGGCAAACAGACCATAAACAGATGAGACATGTTTATTAAAATGTGCCATAGAATGCATTAATACAATTTTCAAATGCTCTCTGAAATTAAAATAAAATGTATTTGGTTTAGATGAGTGCAGAAATTCTCCAAGAAAGGGTTTTAAAGCTCCAATTTCAAACCCTAGAAACTGAACCTAATATAAAATGGTTAGTTTTGATCATATTTGGATTGGTTATGAATATTAATGAGCTCTGCTCTGATACTTCAGCAGCTCATGCCAGTGAAACTCATAAAGGTTTGGAACCACCTGAGGGTGAGTAAATAGTGAGTAAATTATCTAAGTTAACTTTTTTTTATGTTTTAGAAATAGTTTTATTGTATATGAAAACACAAGCAGAAATTAATATCAACCTCAGAATAAACAGGTGAGTTTTTGAAGTTTATGGGCATTCTTTCACTTTATAGATATCAGTAACAACTGTGTAATGTGACAATGCATAAATGTACATTTAACAATTATAGTCACTATATTTATCACATATAAATGTTTTTATTGCCATTACAAACTTACACATGTGTCTGTTGCCTCATTACAAACATATGCCACACATTTCACTATATACATATTTAACTATGAAAATATACGTTTATAAAGACCTTATGCCTCTCCGGAGGGCAACAAATAAATGTATAATCCATAACACCCTTTATTTTGCATGTTGGCAACCTGTAAAAAGTAAGACTCTGTATTTAAACACGGCTGTGTGTTTTGTTCCAACTGGCTTGATTTTCACCAGGATATTGTAATGAGAATGAGAAACTATGGCGTTTGAGGCTTACGGTATGTAATTTCTATGTACTGAACTCTTATTAATTAGCTATGCCTAGATATTTCTAGATTTTCATTATTTTACCTTTAAACATATTGAATCACATTCACACATACTGTACTCACCCCACGGTTGGGTCCAGAGCAAGTCCATGAGGAGTCACCAAGTTTTCTGCAATCAGTGTGACACGGTTTCCCCCATCATAATCACATGCTTCGATTCTCTCCACACGTTCCTCAACAAGATACAGCTTAAAGTTTATCCAGTCTACTGCTACATTCTGTGCATTGTGTACTGCTTCAGAAAGCACCTCCATCTTATCACTCCCATCAAAATTTATGGAGAAAACCTAAAAAGGATATATGCAGAAAAAATATGTTTTTAAAATTTATTTGTATTTATGTGTATAGTATATTATGATTTCACACCGTAAAAATTTAACCACCTTCTGAGAACTCGTGTCTGTCCAAAAGACCCTTTGAGTGTGCCAGTTGTAACCAACACCCACAGCATAGCCTTTACCATCTGACTGAACTAGAAGTCTGATAAAACGCCCATGTATATCTGCCATTTTGATATCACGTCCATCTGTGAAGATCAGCTGTGGTAAACCCCCTGTGAGAAACAAGACGAGATGTAACAAAGCACTATTAGAAATACAGTCCAACATAATGGTTTTGTTTTTGTTTTTTCCTGGGAATATTATTTCTAAAAGAGCTGTTAACATGGAATTGACACAAAGAATACAAATAAATTTTTTTTTTTAAATCTGAAAAATTTCTTATGTGTAATAACAGCTAATATTAATTTACAATGACGAAGGGTAGAGGCTTGCTGAAAAACTACTGAGAGATTTCAGCTGCTGTCTGGGCTTTCGATGCTTTTCTACACCTCCCTTTCTTCATGTGTTCAATAGTTTTTTCCTGTTTCATTGCATTTTATTACACCTAACTTAAACTAACTAATGTAAACTAATTATTATTGTTATTATTTTTTGCATATATGGATCTCTTTAGTTGTTATAAACATCCGGTCTACTTTTCAAGTCAACATCACATTTAGAAATATGTTTTCTGGTGACAGATTTATATTATGGTGAAATGTTTAATACTCATTTACTCTACACTTGGAAATAAAGGTACATGAGCTGAGACCTTTTCAAAAAGTACACATTTGTACTTATTTGTACTTTTGGTCCATATTGGTACCTCAAAAGTATATAATAGTATTTAAAAATATTTAAGAGGAACATTTTAGTATTTTTAGGTACATATATGTACTCTTGAGGTATTAATATGGACCTTTTAGGTACAAATTTGTACCTTTTGAAAAGGTACCACTCCAGTGACAGCTCGCGTAACTTAGATGCTTTAAGAAAGGATTCATGGTTCTCAGGGAAGGAAAGTAAAAAAATTAACATTGTATTCATAAATACTCATGTTTACCATATATTCAGTTCTAGTTTCCACTTACCTGAAATATTGGCCTTGCAGACATGACCTTGCTCCAGGAAGTATCCATCAGCACAGCTGCAATGATGTGTGCCTGGACGATCCTCACAGAAATGATCACAGATACCCCAAATTTTACAGTCATCATAGTCTAAGAATAAACCACATACTTTGGTTAATGACATGACTCATTTCTGTTGTTCAGATCTGTTTAGTTTATTTAAATGTACCCACATATGCAATGACCTGAATACATTATACATTTTTAAATTTAGTCATTATAGTCATGTCTAGTTGCATGGCAGAAATATTCAGAGATTGTAACAAAGAAAACAAATGTAAATTATTGATAACTATAATAAAAGAATAAAAAGCACTTACCCACACAAGTGCGACTATCATTGGCCACAGTGAAGCCATCAGGACAGTAGCATGCTCCTCCCTGTGGGGTGGGATGACAGCGGTACTCACAGCTCAAAGCAGAACACTGGTGTAAATCTACACGAGAAACAGATACCAGTGGCAGTTAGCTATTGTAAATATCTGAAGCACCTGGGCAATCACAGCATGTCTGTCACATGCATAACGTGACATGAGTCTTGCACCAAAGGCCATCCGGTCATCATCTGTGTTATAATAAAACGTGAATCACCTGCTCACATGTGCTTGAGGTAAAAACTCAATCCACATAAAACTCCATAAAACACATTATGTACTCTTATTTGTCCAGTAATACTGAGTGTACAGTTAAATTCATGTTCACAGCATATCAGGTCATTATAGCTATACTGGCTTCTAGTGAATACTTTTCCTGCTGCAAGCTTTGTGATTTAAATGTTTTAATGAAAGTTAAATTCATTGGTTCCCAACAGGGGAGGGTCCTGGCTCAACAGGAGGCCTCACCAAGCTCAGTAGGAGACATATTTTGAAAAGTGTTGAAGTGTAAGCATTAAGGAGAACGATCATCATTACATTAGCAATTGTATTCATTATCCCACCACTACAAAAAAAAAAAAAAAAAAAAAAAAAAAAAAAAAAAAACTGCATGCTGCTAAAGTACAGGTTTTGATTTGATGCTTGTTTGCTGGATTAAGCTGGTTCTTGCTGGTCATGACATGAGCTATTCCTAGTGATGTAAAGTAACAAATTACGAATACTCAAATTACTGTAATTGAGTAGTTTTTCTCAGAAATTGTAATTTACTGAGTGGTATTAAAAATGTAAACTTTTACTTTTCCTTGAGTAAATTTTTTGTGCAGTATTGGTACTTTTACTCCATCACTTTCCTTCATCCTGCAGTCACTACTTTGTTTTTTCCTGTCTATGGGAATTAGAAAAATCTGTATTACGATTCCAGTTAAATCAAATAAATTTCATCATAATGAACTACCTCAAGTCATGGGTGATTTATAACTGCAGTAAACTGTATAGAAGCATTAACAGTGTTCAAGTAGATGTATAAAAATCTTTACACAAATTGACCCAGAGACTGTTTAGATGCACGTCACTGATGAGAAGATGACAGATGTTTACTTTATGATGACCAAAATGGCCTTAAACACCCAGCAGGCACAAGACATGAACATGACGTCAGACTTACATTGTACCTCAACGTTGAGGGGATGTTGCATTTTGTGTAAAAATGAAAATTGGGTTTTACGTCAGAAATCAACATCAGGCCAACATCAATGTCCACTGTCCAACCTAAAATCAACCAAATATCAATGTCTAATAATGATGTTGCAGCTTGACGTTGTGTGGACATAACCACTATCTATCAGACATTGGGTTATGGTTGCCAAACTTTATAAATAAATGTCAATATTTTGTGTCAATATTATGAGGTTGGCTTAAGATGTTGGCTCAATGTTGGATTTTGGTCACTTTCCAACACAACCTAAAATCAACCAGATATCAACATCATTTGACGTCGTTATTGGACATCAAAATAACGTTGTCCTTAGATTCTGGCTAGACACCGAATTTTGGTCACTTGATGTCACAATCTAAATCTAAATAAAGAACCAAAGCCTGGCAAGAAAAAGAACCCGCACAGGTCATGACTGTCAAAAAGCAGCTTAAATGTGCTTATTGGTGTTTTTTTCTTCCCCCATTTAAAATTGAGTGTCTGTCGACAGAGTCCTGATCTGATACTTCTGATTTCTAGTACTAGGTGCAAAATTCAAGTACTTTAAAGCTAACAAAATATACTAAATGTATATAGGGAAATGTTCATAAGTAATATAAAATAAAGGAGGAAAAAGAAACAATGTCTGGTATTTTACATATAACAATTTCTGCAGTAATATGTATATGATATTAAATAATATTAAAAAATATTAAAATTATTCATTCATTCATTTTCTTGTCGGCTTAGTCCCTTTATTAATCCGGGGTCGCCACAGCGGAATGAACCGCCAACTTATCCAGCAAGTTGTTACGCAGCGGATGCCCTTCCAGCCGCAACCCATCTCTGGGAAACATCCACACACACACACACACACACACACACACACACGTTCACTAAGGATAATTTAGCCTACCCAATTCACCTGTACCGCATGTCTTTGGAGAGGGTGCAGAGCCATTTGAGCAGAGCTGAGCTCCAGCGAGGGGAACATGAGCTCTCGTTCTGCCTCCTGTAAGCTGTTTTAATGCGTACACCAACCCCACCCCTAACCCTACCCCCAGTGACATCACTCGTAGAAGAAGTGCAAAAAAGGTGGAGCTCAAGCTCAAGTTCCCCCTCGCTGGAGCTCAGCTCGCCCAAATGGCTCTGCAGCGAGCACCACTTGTGTCTTTGGACTGTGGGGTAAACCGGAGCACCCAGAGGAAACCCCCGCTAACGCAGGGAGAACATGCAAACTCCACACAGAAATGCCAACTGAGCCGAGGTTCGAAGCATCGACCCAACGACCTTCTTGCTGTGAGGCAACAGCTGATACTAATGCTTTAGATCAGCTCTGGACAACTTTTTTTTTTTGCTACTTTAATGCACACATTATCTCAGCAATGTTATTCCATCAAAAACTCTACACAAACATTTAGAAAACTATTTTTGATTCTGTTCTTGGCAATTTTGTCTTTCAAAACACCCAGTTTTAAAAGACATACTGCATTCAAGTCTAGGAAGTGAAGTAGTGTTTGGGTATCAGTTTGCATATTATAATTAAACAAGTAAAATAAACTATGCTTTACTGTATGTAACTCCTTTGGTTGAAAAATTCTAAACAGCAGCAGTCATTCAAGAACACAATTTTAGTAGTGTGCGCAATATTGTTGTTGGATTTGACATAGCACTGCTTCTTCATTTATTTTTTTAATTACAGTGGTACTGGTATTTACCGCAGGTCAGATGTGCTGTAGCATTGCTCTCATCTGTTCCACCAGGGCAGTCAGGATGTTCGTCACACACTTTGTTTACCGGCACACACAGTGAAGAACCTGGGCAAGGCCATTCGCCTGGGTAACAATCTCTTATACCTGGGTCTGAAAACATGAAATGTTCAGCCTTTAGCCTCAAATAATTGAACTTCTATAAATGTGACTGAATCTGTTGCACATTGATTCGAGAGATGATGAGCTGTCTGTCTCACCGCATCCATTCTCATCACTAAAGTCACCGCAATCGTTGATGCCGTCACACACCCACTGCTGTGGCATACAGCGTCCATTGCTGCAGGCGAACTCTGACCCACTACAGGTCCGATACTCTGGAAAAAGAAGACAACATAGCAGTCATTTATCATTCAGTTCTCTGGAGGATAAACCCTTTCAGAATGCCAACATTGGTTAGCTCAATTCTTCTAGAATAACAGATACTTACTCCGAGTTTTTTAATAATTCCTTAATCATACCCGAGAGGGTCTCATCTAAGGTTCATCCCACATTTATAGTGAGTATTAGGGTGTTTTTGAACCATTCTGTAATACTTTATATATTATTAGCTATAGTATTTATAACACTTTGTTAATGAAAGTTTCATCATTAACTGAACTGAAAAACTAATAAAAACTTTTGTATACTTTAGTTTTTACTGCAGTGAATTGTGGTGTATTTCACTGAGGTAATCCAGCAGCTACAGGAATATAATCAAATTACTCAATACCAAGTTTTGTACAACAGTTTTATTATTGTTTTTCAGTTCAATTAATAGTACATTATGCTGTAACAGTTATTAACAAAATGTTGTAAATACTTTAGCTAATACAGGGTGATAAAAAAAAACTAGTGAAAATCTATAAACTTGTTTTTTAACTGAAAAAAAAAAAAACTTTGTTAGGTATTCATCATATTGATTAATTATCCTAGGTTCCTTTAGTGTTTCTTTGATTAAATACAGATTTTCAAAGTGGTGGTATTCTTTTTGAATCACTCTGAATGTTAAAATGTTCCCTGACATCAAAATAGAAGGCATTTAGTTTAGCTGAGTGCAGAAATTCTCCAAAAAATGTTTTAAAGCTTCAAATTCAAACCATAGAAACATACAAAAAAATACAGATTTTCAAAGTTGTGGTTTTCTGTTTGAATCACCCTGCATATACTGTACAGTACAGCAGTATGGTTCAAAAACACTATAGCATTTATTTTAATGTGGGAAGAACACAACTGATTTATTCTAGTGCTTTACTAGTATGGTTAAAAAACAATATATTATTTAATATAAATCAGTGTTTCCTTCATGTGGGTTGTTTACTTTGTGGTTTTAGTTTTTTTGTAGTTACTGGAAAAACTAGAAGAAACTTTTTATAACTTTGAATTGGTTAAACCAGCTGCTCACAAAATGATTAAAGTGGGATATGCTTGTGATACCAGCTAATTTGTGGTTTTATGAAATTATAATGCTTTTTTAGTTTTTATCCCTATAAAATTTTGATTAATCTATCCAATAAGAGACTCTACAGCAATTGCTCCTCTTTCCTTATATTCAAATGTGTCATTAAAATGTATAATAATTGAGACCAAATAAGGTTTCACAAGTTCATATATAGACTAAACTAGGAAAATGTGTATTTGTCACACTGTCTGAGTAGAGGACTTTGGACTGAAAGACACTATAACCAGGGTTATTCCCCTTGTTGTAAGGGAGAGAGATACTGTAGGAGTAACCCCCACCACCCCAACCCCCCAATCGGAGTGGTAGAGGGATGCCAAATTCGAGAGAAAATGGAGATATGCTGGATTATTTATGCAGATTGGATAGTGGAATAATTGTCAATGATGAATTATCCTCGTCAAAACATCTGCTCATTCTTCTCCCAAAATTTGATCATCAAACATCACACTTGAATATATTTAACTGAAAAATACAGAGATGTGAATCCATTTACCTGGAATTGAATCACGGGATTCAAACAAAAGATTTGCAAAATTATGAAGCTTTACAAAGCAATGTTTCAAAATCACATATTACTAAAGATTAATGTGGTTTGTATTAGTGGTTTGTATCTAAATCAATAAATTATAATTATTATCAATAAATGCATTTCTATCCAGTCCCACCTCATTTTTGTGACACAGTTTTAAATCATATCAGGATATTTTGACTCCTTTAATGAACATTCATTTTCCTGAAAAATAATCTCAGTGTAACATCAGCAGCTTTGGTCGAATATGTTAAAAAAAATATGGAACCCACCACAGTTTTGCTCATCACTATTGTCTCCACAGTCATCCCAGTGATCACAGACAAAGGGCATTGGGATGCAGAATCCATTAGCACATTCAAATTGATGTGACTGACAATGCCTTGCTGTTTCAGAGATGAAGGACAAAAACATATATGAAAGGAAATGACAGCAACGTAAAATCCTAAATATACATCTTAACTCTATTCACTGGCATCTCTAATTAATAACTATTACAACTCACTGCAGTTGGATTCATCTGATCCATCTCGACAATCTAGTATCCCATTACAGTGTTGAGCATTGTTGTAACAAGCGCCATTAGCACATGTCTTCTCTGTGCAGGCTGGGTAATCTGGAATAAATGAGAAGAAATTTGATGCATTTTATTGCAATTACAAAATCTGAATATGAATGAATTTTACGTCACCCAACAGTGTTCTCGTGTCATTTTGGTAGCTGATTTATCTTGAGATTTTTATGTGTACTGGACCATGGCTAGTAGTCATATGCTTTTTTCTTGTAAAGATAACGTTACTTTACTTTAACCATTAAGGTAAAGGTTACTTTACAGTATTTTAACCTTTGTGACAGACATGTTGCAATTTAGTTTAGGTGTAAAAGATTCGAATTTACTTTTGACTATAAAAGTAATATAAAATGATAATAATGCAGTAATCTTTTATGTTCTGATATTCTGGTCATGTTTTTTAACTACACATTTACAGTCTGTATTGTTACTGAGAAATGGTAAACAGCAAATTGCTAAAAGTAATAAATATTTGTATTTATTTTTTTATGTATTACAGGTCTAGACTGAAATAAATAGTTATTATAGAGTTTTGTTATAGAGATGAGAGCTAAATTACCAGTTTTTCTGTGAATTTTTAATTCATTTTGCTATTTAACCTTTTGTCGTGCTTGAGTCAAATCTTATTTTATGCTTAAAACACTCAGAAATATTGTCTTTTACATCTGATTGCCTCAAGGCCTTATGATATCCTCCATGCTATGCACTTGAAGTGCAGATCATCTCTTTCATTCAATTTGAAGTGTTTTAATCAATTGTTACACCAGTGGTGTTCCCGATCAAAATTGACCGTAACAGAAAATAAATGGGTGTCCAGACTATATTCATCCATCAGAGAGAAAGCATTCCTATACACACCACCCCAACTCACTCACTCACCTACACACACATTTCAGACTGAACAGTAAGTGATTTGCCTTGAGAAAGCAATGGATCCTCAAACGCAAATCATTTTTCTAATAAAGCAATTGTAATGTAAACCCATCTGTGTGTTCTTTTCTTTCTTTCTTTCTTTCTTTCTTTCTTTCTTTCTTTCTTTCTTTCTTTCTTTCTTTCTTTCTTTCTTTCTTTCTTTCTTTGTTTCTTTCTTTCTTTCTTTCTTTGTTCACCCTATCTCTGGGTGTAGCAGGAGCACTTTTAGCTAAGCTTAGCATCCATTATTTTATTGGATTAGACCATTAGAATCTCGCTCAAAAATGACCAAAGTACATCTAGTGCTAGTTCTGTGTCCATGCTCACTGTCTATACCCTCAGTCACTAATCCCTATATTAGTGCACTAATGTTGTCCTATTGAAGGACTGAATAAAATTTTGAGGACTCAATACACAGGAAAGTATGCCGCTTTCTTTGTGCTTTGCTGCTTGGTAAATCATACAGATTAATTAAAATTTAAATTTCTTTGGTCAAACGCTGCTAGTTTCTTAGTTAGCTGTCTATTAGTAATGAAACAAAGTATTTTAGTTTCTGTCATTGATTGTTTATTTTGTAATACATTCATTCATTTTCTTGTCGGCTTAGTCTCTTAATTAATCCAGGGTCACCACAGTGCAATGAACCGCCAACTTATCCAGCACGTTTTTACGCAGCAGATGCCCTTACCGGCCGCAACCCATCTCTGGGAAATTTTGTAATACATTCAGTGCTTAATTGTATTTTCACTGCAGTTATTTTATATCTAAATTTTTCAATTAATGTTAAACACTACTTTGAGACATTGTTCACAGGTCAAGAATGTTAAATAAAAATTAAGTGGTGAAAAATGTTTTTTTTGTGCTAATATAAAAGCAGTTAAAACAGACTGCTCAATTTTGACCTGGAACACTAAAGTAAGCGCCGGGATGTGAACACGACATGAGGTTAATGGAGCAAACATAGTTTTCAACACATTTTTAAACATAGTTAAATAATTTTTTAATAGCTAATTACTTTTGTCTTTGCTCTGATGACAGTATACATAATATATTACAAGTAAATTATCAAGATACAAGCATTTAGCTTAAGGGTACAACAAGGTGTAAATTAGGCAAGTTAGATTAAGTCATTCAACAACCAGAGCCTGTTCTGTGGCCAATGGGGGAAAATCTGTAAAATACTGTGAAAATGTGCTTGCTCAGTTAAACAACACCTAATTTAAATGTTTGAAAGTAATTAAAAATTCACAAAGCACATATCTACTAAAGACCCCTATAAGTCATGAGTTTCATTACAGTCATAAAATTAAATAATTACAAAATATGTTAGACTTGCCTGATTTGATAATTACTACATTCTGTTGTTTAAAATCCACATTGCTACAGAGGAATAGTAAATGGGAAGAAAGGTTCTTACTGCAGTTGTTCTCATCAGAGTTATCCACACAGTCTGGCACATGGTCACAGTTGTATTGTTTGGGAATACACTGCCCTTCTCTACATGTGAACTGGTCTGGACTACACGTCTGACCACCTTAAAAAATAAAAAAGGTGGGGTCATAGACTGTCTGTGTTATATGTGTTATATATATTATTTCTTATTTTTAACGGAATTAACCAAATTTTAATTATGTAGACATACTACAGGTCCTTTGCTCATCAGAGCCATCAGCGCAGTCTGCTTCTCCATCACATACAAACTCAAGAGGAATGCACTCTCCTCCTGTCAGACACTTGAACTCCTGAGAGCTACAGGTGGGTAATGCTAAAAGAACGAGGTAAATAATTATAATAATAAATGTATTTGCATTAAACAAATGCTTTGACATCACATCATCACATTATGGGTCAGTGTTCATCAAGAGATACTCACGGCAGTTGAGTTCGTCAGAGTTGTCCGTGCAGTCCTTTGTTCCATCACACTTCCAGTCTTGATTTATGCATTGACCATTGCTACACTGGAACTCACCACTCATGCACTGACCTGCACAACGAATAACGGATTACTCTCTCTGACCAGATACAGCTAACTTAATAAAAATAATAATAATAATAAATCAACTACAGTAATACCATTTGATAGAAATGAACACGTGGCAGATATATTGTATGTCTATGTATGTCTTGTTTCAATATTTTGTGTTTTCTGATTAGGGTTGTGAATTGTATTATGGGATGTTGATCTCTGCTCTCGACTTTTTTTTTTTGTAAAAAATTCAACTCTGCAGTTTAACAAAGTGACTTTTATTGACATTTTAATGGTTTGAGACAAAGTATTGTTTAAGAAATAATAAATAAAAAACAGAAAATGTACTGGCAGCTTATTACCAGTTTATTTGCTGTGTAATATACATCAACATCAACCCAGACAATATATCACTTTAAACTATTAAAAAATGTTCATAAAAGTCTCTTTTTCGAACTTTTTGAGGATAAAAAAAATGTTGAAAGAAAGACCAAGGCCCCTTAAAGCAATTCAAAAGCCTAAATAAGTAAAAAAAAAAAAAAAAAAAAAAAAAAAAAAAAAACATGCATCACAAAATACATAAAGCTGTCAATTTACAGATATATTGTAGAGTCAAAAGAATATGTTTGGGAGATTTTCAAATTTTCAGTGACCAGAAGACCAAGCTTATATACTGTAAAACCCAACTGTCAACTTTATCAAATACAGTTAACTTAATCAATGTAATTAACTCAAAATTAACTGAAAGATAATTCTACTCAATTGAAAAGAGTTTTTAACTCAGTGTTGAAGGTGATGAGTTAATGAAATACCACATTACTTCAACTTAAATAGAGTAAGTTCACATTACTCATACATTAGATTAGTTTTTTTTTTTAACTCAAATTGTTTGTAACAATCGATTTCCTTAAACGTTTGAGTTGCTTAAACATATTGGGTTTTACAGTACTCGGTTTGAGTTCTCTTCATTTATTGGGTTTTACTGTGCGCAAATTGCTTTGTTTACTCAAATATATTAAGTTCAGAGTACTCATTAGGATCAGTTTTTATGATAAATGGTTCGAGCTACATTAACTTATTGGGTTTTACAGTGTAGGTTATTAGTGGAGACCTGTTGAGTCTGAAAAAATGTCGCATACAAACCCGTAGCAAAAAGTCTGATTACAAGATTTACCCAAAATGCTGTAATTATTTTATGAGTTTACTTAATTACCATTAAATATAAGATTGTGTTTGTGGTAAACGATAGACACTGGTTTAGGTATAAATTCACAAAATTAATGTGCAATATGAAGTTTCACAAACTAATTTCGAGAGGAGCACGTGATATGATTGACTGCAGCTGGCCACTCATCTACACTCATTGGCTAGCCAATCGGATTGATCCAAACTCACTATAAATAACTTAGCTAAGATCTACTCCCTTATCTTCGTTTCCCGAAGAAACCCCCCATCCACCCCTTCTCCTCCTTTCCTCTTTTGCCGAGGGGAGCTCTCGAGAACACCTGACCTCGTACTCCCCTCACATGCTTTATGGACCTGGCGGGAGCCCTGGGCTCAACTATCTCCGAGCTCAGGGTTTTCTCCCGGGACAGCATGCCAAACCTGCTACTTTGCTAACAAGTTGTCAAACAGTATCTAAGTGTGAACTCTTGAAATGGGTTTTAATGGACAAAATTATATTTATTTGTAGCGTATTATAATCCATTCTCATGCATGTTTTCCAATAAGCAAAACAACATTTTACACTCTTTAAGTAAGCTACACTGTAAAAAAAATCTGTTATATTATGTTGTTGTTTTTTTCTAACAGCTAGGGTGCCGCAAAACCCACAACTTTTAAAAATGTTAAATAACATGTTTTTTTTTTTTATAGTGATATAAAAAAACATATAAATTTTCCTAGATTGAACCACTTTTGAACCACTACTGTAAATGTTAATGACCATGGGCACTTGTGTTTATTAGGTAATTGGCGGGGGGGGGGGGGGGGGGGGGTGACTTTTGGAGGAAATAACTGATCAATGAATAACTGTGTTTATGGGTTTCAGAGCTACAGTTTAAAACTTCTGAAATATACATCATGTGACATCTGAAATATGCTGGAGAGAATCCAATTTAACTTTAAATGCCACTAGCTTTTTTAGTAGACCAATAGCATGATTGCCAGTATAACATGTTACTTTAGTCAAAGCACCAATGTACTGTCTAAATGCTATATTAGCTACTGATATTCTCTCTCATTTCTAGTTGCAAGCCTTATTCAATTCTAGTGAACAGTTTAGGTATAAACATATAATCATCAAAACATCTAAATGTTTTATTACTAATGTATGCTAAATGTTGTTATTGACCCTTTTGGGTTAATAACAAAGGTTAAGGTTAAAATGTGCACTCATGAATGGCAAAAATTGACTACATTAATCCTGAAAAATTGAGAATACAGTAGGACTACTTTAATGTATAATAATCAGTCATAGCAGAACATTTATATATAATATTTGTCCTATGACAATCATCATCATCATCACAGCAAACATTTTAAGACATTTAAAAATGTATATGAAACATACCTTGCACGATGTAGGGTCCATGGATTAAAAATAACACTGCTAAAATATAAAGACCTAATTGGTCCATTACTGTTTGACTTGGTCAAAACTCAACAGTTGAAAAAAACTGGCCATAGAAGAAGATTGATTCTACACTACAACCGTGTATCCACTCAAAGTGCATCTGTCTTGGAAAAAAAAGGTCTTCGATGAGGTTCTCGTTTTAAATAAGCGGGGACTAGATGAAGGAGACAAAGGTGAAGCCATTTATGACCCTGACTCTGTATGACTTTAATCTAATATTAACTTTTTTCTAGTTAAACATGTCAACATCAGCAAAAATTCCTCCATGTCATTTTAGTGTAACAGGAGTACCAGCATTTTACTTGCTCTTTATTGTTAAGATTTTGCAACTCCTGCAGGAACACATCCAATGAAATGTAATGACTGGAAGATAAATGAACTGCATCTCATGTTTACTGTAAGCCTTTTTATACAGGCAAAAATAATAATATTTAAAATAAATGAATAAATGTGCTTAACATATTAAAAAAAAAAGTTTTTTTCTTTTTCAAATATTTTTTTTTCTACAGTCATATAAATATTGTTTCAAACCACACCTGGGTTTTAGGTAAATATAACATTTGTGATTTTGTAAGAAATGTGAGATGTCTTTATATTTATTCTCATGGTATAAGTTTGTTTCTGCTACACTAAAATGCTTTTTTAGTGTATGTAAACCATTCTGTAAGTTACTGTGCTATTTGGAAAGTTTTTAGTAACTCTTGGGAATTAAACAGATTGTTCCACTATACTGTTTCCTAAAATATATTGCAGAGATGTTAAGTCATGTTCATTTTATTTACATAAAGCTTTATAAAATACAGTTTCACAGCAGCTTCACAAAAACACAGTTGTTCTTATACAATAATATTTACTTTCATTCATTTATTCATTCATTCATTCAATCATTTTCCTTAGAATTAGTCCCTTATTTATCAGGGGTCACCACAGTGAAATGCACTTCTCTGGAATGTTTTATATAGCAGATGCTCTTCAAGCCGCAACTGAGCACCGTGCTGGGAAATTTACTAACATAATTACATAATTTGTATTTAATCTTTAAGCTAAATTGTAATTTCATGATTTCCTACAAAATGGTTTCATTTCATTAGTTTTTTTTTTTTTTTGTAAAGAAAACAGTTTATACCTTTTTAGATTCTTTACTGTTACACTGAGAATTATTGTGAATTTCAGAACTCAGTTGGCAACTTTGTTATCTATAACATTAAATAATATTTTACAATTTATTTGAAAACAGAATGGCACTGAAAATATTTTTCCCTTGTACATAGTTTTCTTATGCACCACTTTATAAAGGCTTTATAAAGGTATTTTTGTAAAGGCACCCTGCCTGTTAAGTAAGGATGACAAATCAAACTTGTGAGATTTCAGTTTGTTACATAATATGTAAATGGCAGTGTGGAATACTGTTATTCTCAACTTTTATTGCTCCAAGATAAGATCATGATTTTAGAGTTACCTTGAAAAGTTTGCTAATAAAGAACACCTAATATGACTTGTTTTGGCATCCTGGTGTAGAACCACTGTTGATGATTTTTCAAACATGAAATTGTTAGCCCCAGGTCATCCCAAACCCTGGATAAATAGAGTCCTATATTATGTGTAATCACGTTTCACAGTGCTCATACTAAATCTAACGGATAATCCTGGGTATCCATTAACAGATGTTTCACACTGTACATTATTTGCATATTTGTTGTGTCACTGGCGCTGGTTAGATGAACAGCACGCAACCTATTATACACTGCGTTTCCACAATTGTCAGTTAGGGAGTAGTTTTTTTAAGTTTAAGTTTAAGTAGGAAATGCATAAAGGCAAGTAAACAAGGTCAAACCTTGCAAACAAGCCTTTGCTGATCTTTAAGTTTCCCTAAGCGCAGGGCCCTTAAGAGGCTGCTTACTGGCAAAACATTGGCCCCTTAGTGCTGGCCCTGCATGAGCAGCCCTCACATATCCCCCAGGAAGCCCTAACTAGGCCTACACAGTTCCTGCACTTAATATACAACAATTCATTCAATTCAATTCACCTTGATTTCTATAGCGATGGATTTGCAGCACTACAGGTCCCGAACCATGGATCGCATCAGTGGCGCTGCAGAATCTCTGGTGGCCTCAGGATGAGTATCAGGTGGAAATAGAGAATGAAAAAAATAATTAGCGTAGCTGCTGTTCATAGTACATATAAACGAGATGCAAAATCTGCATGAAGCACATTCATGCATCATACTGTTATGTGATGCACTGAGTGTATTCATCTGTTTCATTAGAAATATTTTTTCAGTTCACTCATTATACATCTGGATTCATTAATTTACACAAAGCCATTCCAGCCTCTGTGGCTGTATTTATGGTGAGGACCAGTTAGTGTTATGTTAATCATCCT